TAGTAATTTTTTTTGTAATGTAAATGCATATAGATTATTCTTTTATTAATGTCGATTATTTAGTTTTCCAATACGGGAACGTATTCTAACCGTTAAGTTATTACAAAGTAATAATGCGAGAAAAATTGATGATATGTGAAATATATTAGATGGACGTATATAAAATATAAAGCATATTGTTTAATACTTCAAAATAATATATTACATAAAGCACCATAACATCAAAAGTTGAGTTACAGTCATGCAACTGACCGTGTGGCCTAATGGATAAGGCGTCGGACTTCGGATCCGAAGATTGCAGGTTCGAGTCCTGTCACGGTCGAACGATTAATTTTTTATTTTTTTGGTTTTCTTTAACAGTGTAGTATGAAGTACAAATATAAAGAAACAAATGTTATACGTAAATAATTTATTTTTCAGCGAACTAGAAGAATACTATTCACTTCCTTTTGTTCTATTTAATTCTACACATGCATTTATTCCGTAATTAAAGCACGTGAATAAATTTATGAAGTGGAAGTACCAGCAACATTCTTAAAATTCTACAAACGTACTTATTGTATGGTAATGTTCATAATCTCGTAGTCCGTTGCAAAAGCGATTGCCACATAAATAATTAATAATATTATATAAAAAACATATCGGTGTAATAACTTGATCGTTATAACACGTACTCCGCTCGAACTAAGAAAAATAAAAAAGAATTCCTTCGAGCCGGATTTGAACCAGCGACCTATGGATGTCTAATATATCAAACGTGCCAACTACAGTCCACCGCTCTACCAACTGAGCTATCGAAGGATAACGATTTTTAAGTATAGTTGGACACAGGATAAGCTAAATTTCAATACAGGTGTAGTAAAATCGTTTAATTTTGGATTTATTATCAAAATTTAATAAAAGAACATTTTTCCAAATTAATAAAAAAAGTTACACCCAGGTACTGGAAACTCAAGTGTCGCTTATGGTTGACACTGCGACAACTTGAAACAATATTTATACATATTGCATGCCAGGTGTATCATAGTCATAAATTATGGTAGCATAATAGAGATCAGAGACTTATAAGTGGCAGTAGATTATTATTACCTAGTAAGAATTAAAAATGATTTAGCATGAGCTATGTGTTAGATGTATAGACTAGTTTGCTGAAAACATCAATATAACGGAATGCAATATTTACCATCTGTTTCTTCATAATGGGGCTATCATTGAGTCTCTCGATAAAGAACATGTGTAACGTGACCTCGAAACATTTCTTTCAATAGAAAAAAATAGGGGAGTCAATGTGACGCGAAGACGAAGGAAAGTAATTACGTTACTGAATGCTCTGACATTATCGCAGGCATAAAGGTCGCAAGTATTTTTTAAAATGCTACCACAGATTTTATGTCAGTATATTGGTTTTCTCTAATGTCGTGTTAAAACGTAATTAGAAGAAATATTGCAGTGTTAGATGTTAACGATCATAGGTTATATTATAGGTTATGTAATTTTTCTGAAGAAAAATAGAACTACATACGTAATTGGCGAATGTTTTTATTCAATATTAAAAAAAGGTTTTGGTAGGGGTCATCTGGAATAAATCTATACTATTACCAACTAAGTTAATTAACATGTACGTATAGTATCGTTCAGGGTCACCTTGCATATATCCGATCGATCTTGAAATACAAAAATCGTTGTCAAGTAGAACAATTAATGTGCACCAGTGTAAATGTTAATTTAATTATTGAGACCAATTAGCAAATTGCTAGTTCGTAATACGTGGTAATACGAAGCGACAATAACAGGTTAACCTCTTTAAAATTGTTTACTATACATAAGAAGACATTTGTTCGATCGTCGTATCGATTGTAATTGGTTGAACCGAATAAGCCTAAATAATTAAAATACGAATATCATCCTGTACAATACTAACTTTAGCTTTACTATTCAGTTTTAATGAATAGAATTCTATAGCATTTCGACCCTATATCCTCTAACGAGAATTTATGTTTTATTTCCGCGAAAATTACGTAATATTTTTTTCGTTTGAACGATTCGTATCGATTCGAAGCTTTCCTCCAACGAAATGTATCTGGGAGTGCCGCTTCTCTAATCAGAACGTAGTGAAACCATTTTGATAGAACCACACCTGAATGTCGGTCGTACTTTAGATCCTTTCTTTCGATTTTATTTCACCTATCAATTAGTATAAACGAGCACGTTGTGGCTATGCCAAGATTTATTCTATTTACGGATTCAATTACAATCATTGTTTATCGCTACTGCCACAAGGAAGCAGCTAATCTCTTTTTCCTGTTATGAAATTTATCATACTATTCCTGTCTGAAAAACATAAAGATTCTGCTTTTTTCTAGTATGATTAACATATGACTCTATCCTTATAAGTACATAGACAAACACATAATTTGTCGAGAGGTCTCTATTGCAGAGATGAACAAAACCCTAGGCTTCGAATAAATTTGAAGTTTGCCGATGTGTTTGTCTCGGTTCCTTCTTTGGAAAATGTTCAAAAGAGAAAACGAGACAAACATATCGGCAAATGTCAGATTTATTCGAAGCCTAGGGTTTTGTCCATCTCTGCTCTATTGGTCTCTTTTGAAACATGAGGGCCCATTGGGTCCACGCCAACTTCACTTGTATCGATCCAGAGGGCTCTTATGTCACCGTAAAGACCTATCGACAGATCATTCATAAAAACGCGGTATTATTGTTGCGATATTTCCAAGGCGGCATTCCTAAACATTCGACTTTGAGAAGCGAAGTAGCGAGTTCACGATTGAAGAAGCCTGTAAGTAGAATATATCAATATGATAGTCAATATCGTGCTCCACGGAAGTAAATATCCGATATTTCTCCGCCAGTAGCCGGAAATTCGTACAAGGCATAGTTCAGTAGCATGCAAATTACACGAAGATGAAAAATCCAAAAAATATCCGTAGACGTTTATTGGTTTAATCTGTCGACACGATCCACTCGTGTCTGTATTTCGCGACACTACCGTAATATCGGTTATCGTTATACGATGTCGTGATAATGTTATCACGAGGTTTAATTGCAATAAATGGATGCTATTACTGTGTACAGTATAATTGTGCGTAACTGTGGCGTGCAATAACAGCATACGGTACGAGAACTGTGGGAACCCGTGATACGCATTTCTCCCCCTGTATTAAATAATATATGTGATCCATGTGACTAGTCCCCCTTCGATTGCGTGTACACTTTTTACTTCAATCGCTAGATTTCGATAAAATGCAAATCGTAACCATTTTTGTATATTTCATCAATTTTCTATACGTTTATACATCAATTAGAAAGTCGAACCCCTGCCGTGACGTATGTTATTCCACCCCTGCGCATGACGTATGTTGTTCGAGAGAACCGCATACGTATTAACGTTAGTAACGTCATTTATGTTCTAGGTGCATAATTTACCCCTGCACGGTCATACGTCCCTCGACGATGGCGGCAAGAGTATGAAAACGCGTGTCGCCAACTGTCGGCTGACGTCGGCAGGTGGCGTAACGTATTCCCGACGTGGGAGGGTAGAACGGGTGGTTAATTCCCTCCAGATCGCGCTACTTCAACGAATAGTCTGGCAGCGAAGGCAGAGGACGAATGGAGAAAGAATTGGAGGGACAAAGAAGGTTAGAAGAACGCAGACGCGGATCTGTTCGGAACGTGGTGCGCCTGTGCGAATGATGACCGGGCTGTGGAGGACAAGAAGGAGGATACGAAGGAAGGGGCAGAGAATGGAACGTGGTAAGAAAAATACAGAGAAAGATAGGTGAGTGTAACACGAGAGAATTATAACAAAGCTAGGTAGAGGGAAGGGGCGTACTGGGAAAAGGAAATTATGTAGAGATGAGAGCGTAGAAATTTCGATACGATAAAACGAAACCGAAACTGAATTAGAAGAACGTGGGTCAAAAGTTATGTGAGAGAAGTACGAAGTAGTAATGGGGGTTAGTAACGTTGGGGTGTACTTAACCAAGAAATCACTACATAGAATTATATAACGAAACATCATGTAACAAGTAGAAGAAAAGTACTGATAAAAGGGTAGATAGAGTACAGAAGGACGAAACGATAGGTAACAGAGTAAGAAAGAGTAAACGACGAATGTAAAATGGTACAAGGGATCAGGGGCGTTCCTAAGATACTCACTAACCAGATACTCACTATGCCACCGCAAATTAATCGCTCCCTCCGTCTACTTAAAATTCGTTCAATTATATTAGGTTGTCCCAAAAGTTTCTTTCGTGAGTTCCATTCAATTATTTTCTGTGGCAGTGTTTATATAAATAGACAATTTAATTTCTTAGACATTGATGCTGTAACAGTAATGGAGCGAAATGAATTGTACACAATTTTGTAATGTAACATAAAACATAAAATACTGTGTATGTATTAATTATTAATAAAACGAAATAAACTTTTGGGACAACCTAATATTTATCTTTCTTGACATCTCTACTAAGCAAGCATGTAAGATAATAACACATACCTATTTATATTAGGTTGTCTAGAAAGTTCGTGCCAATTTTTAAGAAACCTTCAAAGGCACATTTGAGTCGTAATATACATTTATTTATATGTATATTTATTGAATTACATAGGTACTATTTTGTTCCACAACCTTTCCACCTTTTAAGGGATGTACATATGTATATATGTTATTTGTCTTCAGCCATTTCGACATATTCAGACCTGCACCACCTGTCAAAAATCGGCATGGACTTTCCGGACAACCCAATATATAACTAATAGAAATATGCGAAGTATATTAGAAGTACATGCTAAACGTTTAATTTATTATAAGGTTTAAACTAAAATTAAAACTACGGGAACATTTTGTTTTGGAATAAAGTAAAGCTCTAGATTTGTAAGGTGGCACACTGTGCGCCACTCGTGTGTCGTGCACCCCTTACGTTCGTTGCACGGCTCGCGCCTGGAGGGGATAGTAGTGGGGGTGAAGCAGAACAGGCAGGAAAGGTGGCGCTCTCGCGCAGTCTGGCGTCGTTGGCCGACGAGTGCGCGTGTAGGTCGTTGCTTGCCTACGATTCGATTCCGTCTCGTTGTACTTGCGGCTGTTTTAACCGCGATACCATCGATCTTCACCGTTCGCAAGGATCGTTCTATCAGTGTCGTAACACAGTTTACTATATGATTAACGGCAGGAAGCAAGAGAACTAGTTACGCCGGTCGATGAGCTCCTGCAACTTGTGCCGTGGAGATCCTCGCATACAGCGGTCGTCGGCCGATGCGAGGGTAATAAGGTAAAGTTTCTATTCGCGACGGTACGCTTGCGAGTTCCTCGATGGGGACTACTGTCCAGGCCGGTAGCGGATCGATTTTCACGAGGAGTGAAGCGGGAGCTATTGCGAGTGGGACAGAGAGAGAGTGAGTGAAAGGGCAGGCTGCGGAGTGAGAGACAAGAACGGTAACAGGGCCAGGAATTTGTTAATACGTGCACTGTCTTACCCCCGTTTACCCTTTGCCTTCTTACTATTCCCCACCCTTTTCTCGCGTATATTCTTCGTTCTTTGACTCGTATTTCGATTCTTCGTTTCGCAATTCTCGACTCTCGAAACGTGCCTTTTCAGCAATGGCGTAACTAGCGATTCTAGGACCCTTTTAGGGGTAGATAATCCTTCCTGTATTTCTCGTGTAATATTGAACGAAATTATACCGATTTTTACGTTTTAAGGAAACGTAACAATCAAACCTTGCGGAGGAAATATTTATTAAATTTTTTGTGAAACTAGGACCGCGACTCTCTTTATTATACAGCTTATATTTCTGAAAAAAAACGCGTGCGATTGAGAAACAGGGAGGGGTGTTTTGTCGTTACATTTGTGGTTTCTTATTTCGTTAATTTTTTCTCCCTGTTCCGCTCGGTTGTGCTTTCCGCTTTGGTTCGTGACACGCGCGCGCGCGCGCGTGTGCATACGTATTTCGCGATCAGAGGGACATGAACTCCTAAGCGAAACTTCCAAGTTCGAACACGCTCCAGTAACACCGCATCGACCATGTTATCATAGATTGATCGCCGAAAAGTATCTCGGATGAGAAATCGGTAGACTGAAAACGTTATCAGACTACCAGAATAGGCGTGGAATAAAATTTCGAATCCTGGAACGTCGATAAGACTTGGGAGAGGGTTTAGCAGTTTACTTGAAAAAACAAGACTACGATACATCAATTTCAGCCATTGTATCCCCCAGTGGCGTAAGTAAGGGTGTGCAGCGAGGAATACTCGAGCTTTATTTTCTAACATCTGTTAGCTATACGAGGCGTTTCCTAAGGTTAACCTTCCCGAAAAAATGAGGTACGACTTTATTTTAGTATTTTCGCAAATTAAAAGGTTTCCACCATAAATTTCAACGGGCCTGGGAATCGCTAGCCACGGCACTGGTAACTCTCCGTACACGAAGACGAAAGCACGTCTTTGCAAAAGTATCGATTTTTAAGCAATTCGACTCCCCCTCGATGATTCCAATCGACAAGTCGGAATTAGAATACAGGGACGATTAAACGGATTATTAGTAGATGCACGGGTGCGACGTTTAGCGACCTCTGCGTGCCAGTGCACAAACGGTAATCGCTTTAAGCGTGTCCTAAACGAATTAGAATTCGTTGACCGGGAGCGAGACTGACGCATCTGCAGCCGCAAGAAACTCGCGAAGGAATCGTGCCTGTGTGTAGATACGCGTGTAATCGTAACAGTGTTGAATTTTCAGTGTATTCCGCGTCTCTGACCCTCTTCCGCCCTCCGATTCTCGCCGGTCGATAGACCCGACTCGACGTGGGCACTGTCTCCGTCTCTCTCACTCCTTCTCGCTGGCTCCCGTGCGGCTCGTGGGACGGACAGAGACGCGAGCATAAGAAACATGGAACGAGTAAGACACACGAAAATCGTACGATCGCGGATTGCATATACGGGACGCAGTGGTTTCCATCTACGTTTCTCTGATCGATATAATGCGACCGCTAAGTGAACGTGGAATGATGTGTAACGTGATGACAAACAAAGTAGCGGTGAAAGGTTGAACGTGTAGACGAATTAGCTACCCTGTCGTTGGTGCGACGCCCGTAGTACGCGCTGCTAGAGTTAGCGGCAGGATGGTGCAAAGCGTAGGATTTAGGAATAACTTCGATAGGTTGTATTTCATAGTTGATACCACCCGAGGTGTGCAAATCTTTATGATACCTTGAATACCTTGAACGTTTCGTCGGGATAATCTGGAGTTAAATGATATCGAGTATTTTAGTGCAATTGGGATTGGAATCCTAGGGAAACGCTGAAGTGGTATCAATGTTACCCGAACGATACAAAAGTCTCGTTAGTTAGATGATAGAATAGAGGTTAACCTTGAATATCGTGTCCCTTGTTTGGCCATTGTTTTCTTAGAGCTACCGTTCTCGTTACTATAACTATTCGCGTTTGTATATAGGCGTGCGATAGGTTAACTCGGTGATAGTTTAACCCTTTCTACTCAGAGCCATCTCGTTGCAAATTGCCTAAACAGTGGTAACGCGTGAAACAGTCATACGCGTTGAAACTCATTTTCTTTTAAGCTACACGTTCTTTCTCTACGTAATATCAGATCATACTTCATTGCGTATCAGAGATGGGCCCTAGGCTTCGAATAAATCTGAAGTTTGCCGATAAGTTCGTCTCGTTCCCTCTTTTGAACATTTTCCAAAGAAGGAACCGAGACAAACACATCGGTAAACTTCAAATTTATTCGAAGCCTAGGGTCTCAGCCATCTCTGTTGTGTACAGTCCCGGACGAAATGATAGGATTTGATGAATTTGTATATTTCATGTAACATAATAGGATACATGCGTCCTATCATTTTGACCGAGCAAAGTCCGCCCATGTTTACACTTCTTCCTCTACTTTCTTTCGTGTACAAGATATAAACATGCAATTCTATGTGGATACTTTGAAGGCCATATCTAATATATAGGGTGAGTAATACGGCCAGATATCCTATTATGTTATATGAAATATACGAATTCATCAAACGTCCTATCATTTTGTCCAGCACTGTATATCACCAGGGCCGGCCCATTAACAAATGGAAGCAATTTTTGCTGAGATGCAAGACATTTTTTTAGCAGCGATGATTAAATCGAAAGGAGTGACAAAAATCATCAAAGTATTATTATTTAATATTCATCTTATAAAAAATATATAGCATTTGTAAATAAATAATTCCTCGTTGTCAAATTTAATAGTAGGATTTGAATGTGAATTCAAGCCCCGCAAAAGGTCACGCCGGCATTGTATATCTCAGTGTCTACGATATAGCGTATTTTGATTACGTTTTTTTTTTTTCGTGTCATTTGAACAGAAAACTTCAAGGAGGTGTCTGTATAATCGCTAACAGAGTTTGCTAGAATTACGACGTCCCCTCCGACGGGACATCCGAGTGCAGAAGGTTGACCCTTTGTCTCGCGAGAGGCAGGGTGGAGAAAGGGAAGAAGCGCAGAGGGATTCGCGAAGCATCGCGACCCGAATTAATCGGTACAGAGAACACCGGTCTGAATCAGGATTTCCGGAAGGAAACGATGCTTCTTTGCTCTTGAGATGGATCCAGGGCCCCCCCTCGAGCAATTATGCTTTTCGACTTCATCCGGCGGTGACTCAGCGACAGAGAACGTTACGAGGCAGATGCGCGCGGGTAGTTGCATACGGAATGAAATTTGATTCATTTTAAACGACCGGAAATTATAGCGCCTTCGTAACAAACGAGTTAATACTTTTGTCCATGTCTGTTAACGCACGACCAGTCTATCATCGTCAACCGAACAGTCAGACTTATTGCAAAGTTCAACTGATCAGAGATTTTCGTTGGAATTAATGGACGACTTTTCGATAAATCCTCTGCGCTAAAAAACGATTCGTCTAGCGGCGGGAGGGGGGCATTAAGGAGGATCTACAGTTATGCTGTAAGTCAATATAGAGTTACTATTGTCGCTTGATTCACGTAGTAGTAGATCCGGCATAGTATTTAGAATATTACAATGGTTCGGAATTTTATATAAAAATAAACAAATTTATTCGAAGCCTAGGGTTTTGCCCATCTCTGTTGTGTACAGTGCAAAATGATAGGACATTTGATGAATTTGTATATTTCATGTAACATAATAGGATTATGTTAAACCGAATTATGTTAAAAACTACGAAAATTAATTCTGAAAGTTAAGTGTCACAGAAAATGAATTTAAATAAAATACTTGAACTTTAATGAAGTTACAAAACTAAATACCAAAATAAATGTTTCATTACGCAGCTTCCAATAGTCCGTAAACAAAATTTAATCACAGTAGAAATTTTCAAGATTATTAGTCTGACAGTGAACGTGTTAACCGACCTGTGGGGGGAACGGTGATGCGTATGACTTGGTGTTTTTCAATTAAGCTTCCCACCGTCCAGGGGAACGGGAACAATGTTCTCGATCTTATCGGCATATTCGCGTTTCATGGGTTGTATACAATGAAAAAAATCGTTTCGCCCGAACCGCGGGAAATTACCGTCTTTATTCGCACGTTTTAATTCCTAAGATTAGACGTTACGCGACGGGAAGACGAAGTAACGGATAATGAGCGAAGTTGGCGAGCGGACAAACGAGCGCTTTCGTCGGGGCGTGTACAAGAGGGTCGTGCGACCAGAGCTTTGGAAACATCCCGATGGTGTATAATGATCAAGTTCTCGAGGAATCCACTCGTTGCCCCTTTCACGAGATGGAGATCCGTGCGGAAGATACTCGATTCTCTTTCCTGACTTTCAAGTACCTCAGGATTTACACGGTGCTTCATTTCCACGGGTCTCCGAATAATAGAATTTACACCATATGCTATTGGGGTTGCGAATAAAGTTTTTAGTCGTGTTTTATTCCGATAGGAGGCGCCGGACTTTAACATCTTTAACCCTTTGACCGCGGGACGATTTTTGCTAGAAATTCTAAGAGGCGTAGAGGTGTGAATTTAAAAAAAAAAATATTAGCTTACAGGGAATGATAAGACGGAACTGTTTTATATTTACAGTTTATTCATAGGACGTTTAGTTCCCCGAATAAAAGTTCAAAACATCGAGAACTTTTCGCTGAATTCGATTACATTTGAAATGGTGAAAATGAAAGCATCGTTAGTCGAAAATTACTTATTTGTCGAAATATTAAAAAATATCATCTTATAGAGGATGACAAGATTAAACTTTTTTTATATTTACAGTTTATTCGTACGACGTTTAGTTTCAGAGATAAAAATTGAAAACTTAGAAGACCTTCTTCTTGAAATTTAATTTTTGCAACGAACTTGTAACTTTTCAATTTTTATTTTCGGAACTAAGTGTCCTATGAATAAACTGTACAGATAAAAATGTTTCGTCTCATCATCTCCTATAAGCTGATATTTTTTTTTAAATTTATTTGACGAACATAAACATTTCTCTGAGCGTATATCTACGCCCTTCGCAGTCAAAAGGATATTCAAGGGCTGATTTTGCTCGTACGAAATTTTTGGCGATCGAGAAGAAATTGTTTCAGTTCTTACTTTGACTAATTTCTTTATAACATTTACGCTTCATGTATCGAATACGGCGTTCGCAATTCAAATACGACGTTCACGATCAGCTAGTATTTACAAAATTTGAAGCTACTTTTATTTTTAACTCATTCCGAGGAAACGATACGTCGTTTCGAAAGTCGTGGCACTTGTCTGATTAACCACGGATTACCAACGAACAGTTTTTGTTTTTTTTTTTTGCCGCGAAGACAGGAAGTTGTACTCGTACCGCGAAACCTTCTTTCGTTGTGTCTACGGCTTAGGCGACTTCGTCTGATGCGATTAAATCCTGGATACGTGCGCGACGAGTGCACCGCAACAAGTAATCTCGTAGGGTCTTTGTAGTGCTTCGAGATTATACGCTTGCGTGCTGGTTTGTTCCCATTCCCCTGTCTTCTCGATATTAGTCCTCGTTATTCTTTCATTGCGCGTATCTCGGTTCGCTTTGCCGTCGCGAAATTTTCCTGCCTAATGAAAAACCTCCGACGATCGCTCGACCCTAGAACCGTCCATCGAAGCACCGCTGCAACAGTGAGACGGATTTTCTGTATCGCAATTTTTATTATATTTTCAGCGTATTCGCAGTCGTTCGATGGAATTTTACTTTATTTTCATACTTTCACTTTCGGTAACGATTGTCCACCGATTCGGGTATATACAATTATATAGAAAGACCTAGCTTTCAATCGTTTTCTGTTGTAAAAGGAACGATTTAGAAGATACGTGAAAGCGATACTATGAAAGATAGAAATAGGAATGAGGAGTATAGTAGTGTAGAAAATTAATTGCATAAATCGCGGTGAGTTTTATTGTTGAAGAATAAAGAAAAACGTATGGAAGCGAAAGTATTAGGGAACTTTAACCGGTTGGACCACAAGTTAGGAGGAGGGGTGGGGGTGGGGTGGGGTGGGAGGAGGCTCTTAGAGAATTGGATTCCTGAGAAAGTGGCAGTCATTTAACTGATCCTCCAATTATTTTGAAGAGTCTAAGAGTCCATTAAGCCTAAAGTAGCGTGGGCGTATTAAAAGAAAAGCAAATTAACGATGCGCACGTTTGGGCCTAATTATCGCGAGGTGCGAAGCCATTTCAAGTTTTTTTTTTTTTTTTTTTTTTTTATTTTTTATTTTAACGTTTTAACAATTATATTATATTGTCTTTTTCAGAGACGACACGTATAAAAATACGCCATAAAATAGAGAGGAAAGACTTGGACAATAAAACGATGAATATTTTTTGATACGATCGGCGTTAACGAAAACTTATTTTCATTGATTTTTAGGAGACAAGTTTCGTAGGAGTCTCTCGTCGCTCGCATAATTATTCACTCTTAGCAACCATTTTATTATGGCATCGGCATTCCATGACGCGCAACGACGATATCAATTGTTCGGTCACGGAATCGTCTTACGTATCTACCGATCGTGACGTCCGCGCCGCGGAATGAATACGAACACGTGAACTATACTATCCAAAAGCGAAACGTTCGAAGCGCACTTGGTTCGTGCAACATAAAATTTTATATTGTACTCGTTGACGTTACCCGTGTCAAAAATAATTAATCGCGTAATATTTCCTTCCTGCGGGATATTTAAGTTTGGATTCACTGTCGAAAGAAGCAGTGAATCGAAGATTCTCTCCGAAGCAAATATTGAACAAAACGTGGCTTGGAAAAAGCCCAGTTTATTCGATGAAACAATACTCGTTCCAGTTTCTCGTAGACTTTCAATTCTGTTACGCTTTTGTTCGATCCTTCGTTTCCGAGGTAATCGACTTCGAATATCTCCTCGCTAATAAAGGAAGCATCGCATGGAAAAGATCTATTCTACGACTTTTACTTGTTTTTGAACGGGCGAATCAAACAGTTTGGCGAAAGTGAGATTCCAGCTATCTACTCGAGTCTTCAAAAACTGTTACTAATCGTTTTGTTTAGATCACAAACATACAGGTCCTCGATCATAGATTGAACGACAGCGGTTGAGAAAAACCGACTTACAGGAATTTCAAAACTAATTTATCATTAACGCAAAACTAATCTCGTAGCTCAGCTAATAGCGTAATCAAACACAAAGCCCGTCTCCTAGCGACTCGAAAACGCGAAACTCGCTTTCGTTTGATTACGTTTAAAAGCGAAAAACGAAAATGGATTCGAACCGTAAAATCGAAGTGGACGGCGTCAGCGTGTCTAGTCAGTCGGTTGTTCCTTACCTCGACAACCCTTCGTGTCGTGGGGTGACGACCCTACGCGTCTGGCCAGAGCCTCCCGGTGCATTTCGTATTTATTATTTATACACCGCCAAGTGTCTACATCCGGTGGATACGGCGCGGGAGATCCACTTCGTTAGAGCCCGTCGTATCGTGGGCTTCGCGCAAAATTATACAATTAAGGGCTTCCCCTGTCCCTTCTTTCGTACGAACGAAAGCTAAATTCGAGTGCAACGCGATACGACAGCCACTCGAATTTGTAACGCGACGAAGCTTTCGCGAGCGACCTTAAGTATTTTTTTTCCGAGATATTTGTTATCCCTAGTTCGTTTGATGATATTCAACAAGCAACTCTCGGTCGGCAAAGGCTGCGCTTGAAACTATTAAAGGCTCGGCAATCGCGTCAACTATCACTGAAACGTAATCTGCTTTGGCGGGATTGAAGCGCACAATTTGTAGGATTTCCGTCTTCATCAGGGAAGCTTAATTATTTACCGTTCTCGTGTTTGGTAACATCTGCTCGCGAAAGAAACCATCCGATTGAGAAATAATAGTTACCGGTAGTTACGCGTGAATCACAATTGTTTATATCGACGTTCGTCCCGCTGCGTTCCATTTATTATTTACAAGGAACGACGGACGCGCACCCTTTGCACGTGCGGGGAAAGGAGACCTTTGGAGGAAAAAAAAAAACACACGTACCACCAGATGCGCGCGAACGCTACATCCTGCGTGAAACGTAATATTTCTGTTTGTTGATCGTTTCGCGCTGGAGACGTATGAATTTTCGAATTTGGCGCACGGTTGCGCGGAGGTCGAATTTGCTAAACAAAAACGCGCGTCGATATTGATATTTCGCGTATCTCGAACGTTAAATATTCGATTCTCGTCGCGAGATAGGACACCCGATGTTATTAAACGTACAATAAACCGCGACGCGCGTAAATCTACATGTTCCGAGAGCTGGAGAGATTTTTTAAACAAGATTATTTCGCTATTCGGGCTTTCATATCGCGAACGAATAACCGATAACGTTGCTGTCACGTTTATTCGACGAATCTCGCTTCTATTATGCGAATAGAGAAGTAAACAAAAAACATGTGCGAACGAAACGGATCTCTGTTTCATCACGGACACCGTTTGAAATTATTTTTTAAAAAACCGTTACCGTTGTCTTCGAATTCGATAGTTTCGAAAAGGATTATGTTCTAGTATAAAAAAAAAAAAAAAAAAATCGCGTACCACGAATTCGACTTGTTTTTAGACGCGGAAAATCGATCACGCCGGTACCCTCGTGGAATATCGTACGATCGCTTTGATTCATGCGCGAAATCGGCTCCCGTTTGGAATTAATGTGTTCCACGTTGGATAACAAGTTTCATCCGTGTTCGTTTGCAGATGAGAGGGAAACTTTTCCATGCGATTTCTGCTCGAGCGTGATTCATATGGATGGAGCGAGACGAAAGAGTTAAGGGAACAAGAAAATCGTCGTTCCTCTGGTCTATGGGTTGGGCCCATCGTCGGATAGCGTACGTCGACCAGGATTGATCTTTCACGTGGCGAAATGTGAGTAACGCATTCTTCACGGATCCTCGATCGTTTTTCGGTGTACTAGCATCCCACAGACAGACTCGGCTAAACTTTCTTCGAAATCAAAACAAGAGATACGCTATAATATCCCACGCACGCTATGTATCAGGTGTAGGAATTCATTCTGTGCGTATGTTCGATATTATTAATATATATTTCAAATAAACTTTGAAACATTTTCAAACTTTGAAATTCAATGCATTTTAAAAACTGAATACTAATTAAAAGAAATTTGGATAGAATTCGTAAATTTTTATGAGAATACAAAAATAAGTAATACGACAAATGTTAGATTCTGTAGTCTGTAGTCGTTTCGAGACAAAATTTTAGGCCTGCAGACATTGTCGGGTGAATCGGTTTGACAGCCAACGTGGTAAAGTAAGAAATAGTTTAAACGTTATTATTTTACGTCGCATGCGATACGAGTGATTCGATATTATCGGATAGATCCCGTGGTAGTACAGACAAGTTTTTTCACGTGTCGGGTGTACAACACACTATCCTCGTTGATTTCTTTCTGCGTCTATTAATAGTACCTTCGAGGTCTGTGAACTGTCTCTCCGACTAACGTAGCCGAGGTCTACCTTCCTCGAGACTGTCGAGGCTTCTCCATCTAAGATCTTACGATTAATCGTTCGAAGCCTTTGGTAGATATACTTTACACCAAACGAGCCAATTTCTCCCCCTATTTGTCTCTGCTATAAGATTCTCGAGTCTTCATCGGAACGAAAATGGAACTTGTAGGGAAATTAATTGAAGTTGTGGTACGAAGATGAAAATATTAAAAATAAATATTCAGGAATGAGAGGTACGCTCAACCCCATAGAATGTGCAATTAAGGTCAACGACGAGCATGAAAAATATTAATTACGTTTATTAGAATGCACGAAGCAGACGAGAGACAAACGAAAGTCGGAAAGCAGATCGAAATTCAGTCATCTAATCGAATAAACAATTTATCGTTCAACTGCTGCTCGAATAAAAGTTTGCTCATTTCTGCCTATTAGCGACTCGGAATAAACGTGTAAAGTCTGCCGCAGCTGATACTGTTGAATCAAGTGTATTGTGTCATGCTCATGACCGAGGGCGTACATATAGGTTGAACATATTTGCTACTCTGCTACAAGTGTGCATACATATTTATAAACCGACTTACGTCTACGTTTGTGTTTAACGGTTCGATGCATACATTCTCTGCTGCTCACCTAACTCCTAATGAATTCTTAGCGCGACAGAGGTATTTCGTAAAGAAATCTCGTTCGTATTTATTTGCATACGTAATTATTTTCGCTTTTGTTACGCTGTCTCGGTCGAGGTTTCATTTAAATCGCGATTTCGTAATAATATTCGCGAGATGCGATTGTTATAGACTTGGTGTAACGAAGTTCCACGGTGTAGGCTGAAATTACCCGATTAATGAATATTTCACGAAATTAGATTTTATTAATGTTTCTACCAGTATAATACAACTTCCCTACGAATGATCCTTAATTGGGGATGGAGGGTTTTTTTAAGCACGTTGTGCAGTTTCCACCTGCATGGACTTCCTTCGCAGTGGTTTCTTACTATACGCATCGTTTTCGGCAGTAATCGGTTCCTTTAATACTAATCAATATGAGACTAATCTGAAATATGTTAGACAAACTACATTTTGAGGCACAAATGTGACTCCCTTCGCAGTGGTTTCCAAAACTTTTTAGACCCTCGGCCTTTTCAGTATACACATTATTTTCGGCGGCTCCTTTAATACCAATCAATATGAGACTAATCTGAAATATGTTAGACAAACTACATTTTATAGCACAAGCTAACTAAATACAAGTGTTACTATTTCATAAGACCTAATCTCTTTATTATTAAACTTTACCAATATTTATTATTCTTTCTCTTACATTTTTACATACTACATTTACATTTTACATATTTACAATATATCACAGTTTGGGAATCACTGCACTAGACCCTATAACGCAACGTTTTCGTAAACGAAATATCAAAATCGACCAGTACGCAAAGAGCTCCAACTAAATCAATGACCCTTGTGAAAGAAACAAAGTACCATTTCTATAAACTGGGGTTCAATGAACCACAGGGTCTCGAGAGAAAATTGATTCGGCAATTCTCATCAATAAAAAAATGATCCAAGAAGTAGGAAACCTTTTCCCTACGAGTGTTTAAGTATTAGAATAAAATGCATGCGAGGAAGGATGAAATCGTTATAGCTCAATGTTAGATAACGAACTCCAACGGGTAAATAAATAGTTTTGAACGGTTGGTCTCGTTTCAGAGCGGTAGCGATCATCCGGCAGCGATGCACGGGAGCCGGTTCTCGTAAAACCGAAACTGTGTTCGGCGAATTGCAGACGACTCGGGACTGGTCGGTAATCGCTGTCGGCACCGAGGATGGTGAGGAGCAGCGGCACTGCAAACGCATACCGGCGATGCACCAATTGCACCGACGTCGTTTATCGCGATGCCGTTGTCACAGTCTGTAGTACGACCCCTCGCGAATTACGATCGATCGGAATCGGGTACGGTAGGAACGGCAACGGCACTGGTACCTCTGGCAACACCAGCTACGCTACCAATTTCGATCAGGGAGAGGGCACGGCCGATTAGAGTCGCCTCTTTCTATATAACTGCCGAGCAGCACGTGATTCATGTAAGTCTTGAACCATTGATTTTTTTTTCTTCTTCTTAGATACCGCGAGCGATATCTTATTTCATTGTACACGTAATTATTTTCTACGTTTAGCCTACGCTGAAGCAGTTGAGGTTTCATTTGTTACGTTAAATTGCGATTTTGTCGAAATATTTGTCTGCGCGGAGTTCCTCGAGGATGGATACTTTTATAAAATCACATCTTCTGTGACGTACAAACTTTGGCCATCGGCGAACAATGTCGTTTGATCGCGGTACCGAGGATTGGTTTGTTGTTGACTTTGAGGGCAACTTTTGTTAGGTAACCGACGCACGTGTTTATGCAATTGTTATCGACGGGTTTCTTCAATTTGTTGGATTCATTTTATTTCCTTTTTGGATTATTCGACATGGGAACGCAAATCTTATCCAATAGGGACTCTACTTTAATCTTTGCTTTGTGCTTCTGTTATTCCGTGTCGTGTACGAATCATGTATCGTACCTTGTATTAACCTTGTTTCGTGTCCCGAAGAAGAACAGTAATACTTGAGTAGTATGAAAAGTTTCTCGGTAGATATATTTCTTTCGTGTCTTCGTAACGACTTTACTCGCTTCGGATAGAGAGACAAAAATTTCCTCCGACGTTGACCCATGGCTCTTATCAATCTTGCGACGAATAATGAATATTTGTTCGCAATATGTCGTGGTTACCTCCATGCTGTACCGCGGAGTCCTTCAGTTACGTATCTTTGCTTCCATTAACGTCCTTGTATTACACATTTCGCTTGTGTTCAAATGTCCAACCAAATTTCCATTATTAAATTCTTATTCTGTTTAATTTTACAAGCTCGTATATCAAATTCCCCTGTACATAGTTTCTTTAGAAGCAAGATCAGTTGGATTTACCAGGTGCATGATTGCATTAAAAACAACAAAAAATAACTAAAAGGATGGAAAGAAGTTTTTTTTCCCTTTGCTCGTTTTTATTAGTAACAGCATGACTTCCTCCACTATCCAAGACGCCGAATCAATCACTATAATATCGCAGCTAATGCGTTCCTAACGATCGCACGTATATCGAATGCACACAGGGTGTCTCGAAACCGTGCATTCATTCGCAAAGTTTGTAAAAAGTTCCAAAGATATTTCGAACATTCGTCGGTCGACGAATAACGTTAAAAGCATTTCTTCAAATATTTCCGATCGTCGGGACACATCGAGTCCGTCGTCGATAACCGCGCCAATTCAGTCCGCGAAGAAACGTTTTCCGCGATGGCAAACAAATTTGCAAACTGCTGGTCGTATTTAGTCGTTCATTTTCGCGTCGATAACGTCGTCTTCTCTCTGTTTGGAAAACACCGACAGCAGTCGTATCGATTAGCATTCGGTGGTTAATGGAAATTCTTTGTTAATTCGGATTCTACGAAGCCGTGCATGCACGTCACGCTTAATTCGATGACACAAGTGTTACGCCCGTGTAGCGTAATACGATGATTAACTGCCGATAAAATCATCTCGTTGCGCGAATACAGGAAAACTCTGTTTGCATTTCCGTACGTGAAACACGAGGCACGAAAGCGTTTACGGTCTCTGAAATAATAGACATTTCTACGAACTTTGAACGAACTTTTTCAGCAAAGGTAAATCATTCGAGATTCATCTTCTAAGATTGCGTTTAAAAAAGATGCATGTACCTGATGTAATCATTCTTGAACAGAATCGTATCTACTGTTTGTTTGTAAATCATTGCGTATACAAGCGTTAAGTTATACAGATTGAAAAATTCTCCTTGACGCTATTACGAACTACAGTAAAGTCTCCTTAAATGCACAAATTTCTCCAAGTTAAATATGTACACAGAAACCATCCTCACCATTGAGGGGAGGATAGCCTTTGAGAGGTCCAGAAGTTCGATCGCCGAGTAGCGTATCCGGGATCGGATATCCCGGTGAGACAACGATAAAACACACCGATGTATCCTGGTGTTTTCGGTCCGTCTTTTTCTTTGGTCGCTGTCCTCTACGTCGGCGAACATCAGTTCAGTCCCGAGCATTTAAGGCGACTTTACTCTAGTCATTTCCCTGCGCGCAGTATTCACATTCGATCAGCCAGTCGCATTTTACCTAATCACCCCGTGCACTAAAACGTCGATAACGACGGTAATTCCGCGAAATGAAAATAATCGTGCACCTTTATCGGTTGCAGCCTTTCGATCGGTCGTCAGGAAAGAACCAGTGCAACGAAAACAACAAATAAGCCGATATCGAAGTTTCGAGCGTGCGATGGAAATTATTTGTCTACTAAAAATACAAACGTTACCGCGTACCTTTAAAGTGATCCTCCTTCGATCACGTCGCGTTAACGTAAGGCACTCGTCGTGAAAACTGCCGCGAAAACTCTTGATAAAAGATTGCTCGACCGTTCGAGACAACCGAGTCTCTCGTCCGCGCTTTTCAATTTTTCACGTCTCGAGCAAGGGGGTTGGCAAATCGAGAGACGACAAGCAGAACTGGTGTCGGAATTATGCAACAGCTTCGGGCATAGAGATGCAAGCTTGATATAGGAAAAAACAACGTGCAGCGAATGTTTTATCGCGTAATTGCGTCGTCTCTCACAATCGCTTATGAGCGACGTTCCGAGGAATCGACGTTTCGTCTCCATCGAACTCGTGCCGCGATTTCGAAGCCATTATTTCCCGCGACGATCGTCAGCGTGATATAATTGTTCCAAAGATGTCGATTTATTTCGTAGATCTTCGCGGAAATGAAAATTCCACGCGTTATTGCGACTCTTTGTGAGAAAATAAGGGGAAAAGGTGGAGCGTGATTTTTTTTACTCTAGCTTTCGTTCGCGAGAAGAATCGCTTTGAAAGCGATCGCGCGTTGGCGCCATCCGACGAAGCGGTCCCGGTGGTTCTCGCGCTTCGGCGAGTACGCGCGATTTATTTTCAAAGTGAATTTTCTCGAAAGGGATGCTTGGCACGCGACGAATTTATCGCACGGCTTCGACTTTTTGCCGGCTAAGCGTTCGTCGTTCGTTTCGAGTTCGACGAAGCTCGATATTTTGAGAAATCCGAGGAACGGATAGACTTATTTTATTTCGAGCTCTATCTTACGAATGGAATTTTTCTACTCTCGCACCCGATTCTTTTCGTCGATTTCGAAGCTTCGATTTCATTGCATTTGCTTCCCCTAAAAACTCAAACCTCTTAAATACTGGGAATCCTTTATTCCAGCATTTACTCGCTTCGAAGAACTTTGATCAACAACGAACCACAACGAAAATCTTATGCGCTCGCGTTAAATTGGATTATGATCTTTTGAGAATGTTTAAAAACCGAAGAGCTAGCTAGCCATTTTCAAAACTTTTACTACGAAGTATCGATGTCGAAAATTAATTAAAAAAATATACACGTAGGACTTGCGATACATTCAAGGATGAAATTGATTCGAAAAGGTGGAAAAGGCTTTTCTGATAGCAACCGAAGGTTACTTTAGCTTCCTTCTCCCACTGTGCCACTCTCGCTCGATATCGTACAACGAACCAGGTTCACGTACTATCGGTTTTTTTGTTTCGACAGGCCACGATAGAGAACTATGGGAGAACCTTGACATATTCGCTGGCATATTGCTCGCTCTTGCACGCGCGAACGCTCAAATAGTGCAAACGACGAGCCTATCGATCGCGTCGCGACTGTTTCTCCCCGAGAAACGTTGCGGTCGCGACGAAAAGTTGCCCGATCGTCGATCGTTCGTTGTTCTTATCGACTTTCACCCGAAAGACAAATCGTAGCTTCTGCTAATCGCGTACTTACGTAGCTGCAAGTTGTATTCTTTTCGACATTCTTCGCGTTTCGGTATTTCCCATCTAATTATCGATCGTATATCGTTCTTATCGACTCCTGTACGAAACACCTATCGTAGCTTCCGCGAGTTGAATTCTTTTCAACGTTTTTTACGTTTCGGTATTTCATCCTTATCTGTTTAGAGGCAACGTGAAAAATTGAACCGAGAGAACAATGCGGTGTGATGTAAAGGGGAGTATAGAAAAAAAATGTGAACACGTTTATGTAACTGCGAGAATAGGAACATTATAGTTGCCTGTGGTTAAACAATATACTTATGCAACAGTGTCAAAGGAAGTTGTCGATCGTGGATGTTAGTTAATCTTTTTTTTTATATATATATAATACGTATGAAAGAAGGTAATTGGTGTAATTAGGATAAAGCTATTTAGCCAAGTTGTAAAAATTATGTGGTACATTCGGTTACGTAACGACTTTGTACATTGTACCATGCGAGCGTATCGTCCAATCATAGATAATTCATACAATTTTCCTATCGCACACGTTCGTTTTTTATGTTACACCGCATTGCTCGTGTAGATACTTTTCACATCGGAGATCAGAGCAGAACACGATCGAAACCTGTCTCACAAAGTGCTTCGCGCCGTCAAAAATATAATTCGTCATTAAACCAATAATCGCATACAAAGAGGTGCGTTGCATTTAGCAATAACGGTATCATTGTTTATCTGGCTCCTCTCGAGCGTCGCGATAATAAAGATACAGGTCCCAAGGCACGTTAGCTCAGAGATTCGGTAAAAGAAAGGAGTTCCAATTTCGACGATTTGGCTCCAATCAGGATGTTAGGGTATCGTGCGCGCTCTAAAACTTGGCACACCGTAATGGGTCACCCCGTTGATTGCGAAACGACACGTGCACTTGAACTGTAACGCGTATCGATTGCTTCGAACCGATCGAAACGCGGCGTTTCCTCGTCTTTCTTTTTTCGTCGATCGACTCGTCATGGTTTGTTTGCTGTTTTACAGAAATCGAGAGGACGAGAGCAACGCGCGGGATGGATTCGTGCGGGGTCTACTTGTCCCAGCTACGGGCGATGCTCGTGAGGAATCTCCTCTTGAAGAAGCGAGAGAAGCGGAAGACTACGGCGGTGCGTACAAGTTTCGCGGTTGCTTTGTAATCGCATTGCGTATAAAAAAAAAAAAAAAAGAAGAAGAAGAAGTAGAAGAAAACAAGAGCGCGCATCAGCGTTGCTCAAATATTTGTAATTTATTTTATCTTTACGGTGTGCGCGAAACATTGTTCGTTTACTGCCCGTGATAAAAGTTTTATTAGTGGGCTCCAGATATTTCCCAACCCCTTGGGGATCCAAGTACTATAGAATAACCACGGACGATCGACGCACCGATTAAATTGCTACTGTTTAAACCAAAATGGACGCAACTCTTACAACTAATCGCATCGACAACGCGATAGAACTAATTTATTTTCTATCTATACGCGTCTATCGAAGCGTTGAAAACTTGGACCGCCATGAGTTGATAAGCGCGAGATACGCGATTACGCGCGAAGAGCGTTTCGCAAGGTGTCGCGTCACGCGCATTTTTATTCCGTTTTATATACCCAGCGAGAGGTTTAACAATTTTATCGTGGAAAGCATTTTAATCGAGTGACTCGCGTTAGGAGGGCGGGGCTAAGTATAGACGCGAATACTTATTTTATGTATAAATCGATTCTCCCTGCTTCTAACGAGCTATATTTAGGTTTACTTTGCCCCTCTGCCCCCCCTCCCCCTCCCCCTCCCTCTGTGGTCGACCCTTTATCCCAGCAAATTGACGTAGAGGTTTTGACGAGCGGCGCTGAATTGTTCAAAATTTGATCATAGGAACGTGCGAGCCGAGAGACTGACGTTTTTCAAACTGTGAATGCATCGTTATGCTGTAACATAAAAAAAAAAAAAGGAAACGAAAACGTCGTACTAATTCCAGCGAAACTTCGTTTCACGAGTGACGCTCGCTTTTTTCCCTATTTGGAGGTATTTCTGAAACGATGCTCGGGGATATATACAATACATGTATATATTTAGAATCTTCTTTGACAATTGGAGATCTATTAACGCCGTTGAGATACAAAGGAGGCATGTTCTTTATTTATGGATACTCCATAAATAGCAGAGTCGTTGCATCAAATGGCAGGAACCACGTTTCGAACAAGACCCGGCGCTATTAGAAGCCAAAAACATTACTTATCGTTAAAAGGACCGATTAAAAGAGCAAAAGTGTCGTAATCGTTTGGAAGAGGAGCAATTATACTCCAACGGTTAAGAGTACCCCTGCGAATTGGAGGCTTCTTAAGAATGATATCCAAACCAGCCAAGAGCGCAACAATGGAATATTCTAACATATAAACGGATGCCTCGAGTTCCCGTAGAGGAGACCGCGGAATAAACTTCTCGCAAGACAGCGTTTTATAAACCAGAGTTATATCGGTAGCGTTGAAAAGCACGAAAAAAGAGCTTCTGAAAATAGCGACGAAATTGTACTCCGCTTGTTGGATCCTTACTGCAAATTGGAGGCTTCTTAAGACTGGTATCGAAATCATTTGAAAATAGAACAGCGTAATACATCGCTGTACTTAACCCTGAAGAACCAAGCTCTTCGAAATATAGTTGCAAGTATTTTTCAAATCGGTGACTGAATTTCATTTTTGTACGCAATTAGTCGTTGACACATTTTATTGGTTCTTTGACAAGCGTCCCTTTTTACTTGGTATCAGCGAGCATATACAGAAACAAACGTGTATAGACTCTTCGGGTTCGCGAGCAATATAGAAACAGTTCGGCGAGAAACTTCGAGCAAGTTTTTCCTTTGCGTCGGGGGATAATGAAAGCGTGCTGTAATTAAGCCAATAAAGCTCCGGTGTGAAATTGATGCTTTTGTTAAATTGTCAGGAACTTTAACGAAAGCATTTACCTTCTATTGGCTGAATTGTAGCACAATTTTATTTGCAATTTACTGAAAGGCTCTTTAGGAGATAGTACAGTAAAGTCCCTTTAAACGCATAAGCTCGGGACCAAACTCTTGTGCGTTTAACGTAGAGTACGTATATTTTCTGATGTTTGCCGACGAGCTTCGAACGTAGAGAAGGACAACGAATAAACACGAAGACGAAGGGAAAATACCAGGGTACGTCGATGAGTTTTACGTCGCCGAGATATCCGATTCCGGATCATGTTGGGATGCTTTTTGTACATGTAAGCAGACTTTACTGTATTTATGTATTCTTTGGTCAAAGGTGCCTCTTAATTTATCCAAATAATTTCTACATACCCTTATTATACATAAATAGAATTATTCTCCTATTATAACTCCCGAAGAGGACGTTTCACACAGCCTGAAACGTTCAGGTTCCAAACGGATCGTTTCCATACCGCTGGAAGAGCCAAAGAACCCGGACAAGAAAAACACATCGATCAGGAAACGAGCAAAAAGCGTCGATGACTTGGTCCGCGTGAAACTTATGCGCAAATAAGGTCTTAGCTTCGGTTTGTAAATCGCTTACCGCTATATCTCCACGGCCGAGGGCATAAATTTGTCCGTGCTCGACTAGCCAGAAGACAAACTTCTCGACGCGCAAATATTTTCCAAAGTAGAGAAATATTGGCATCGGCGGTACCTAAAAAAGAAACCCGCGCAAGTGCCAGCGAAATTACGTCTCCTCCAACGAACAGGAACGCTCGTGTTTCTACCACTCGGGAACATCCTGAGAAACCTGTACTCGAATGCAGAACAACGAAATGTTCTTGTACGTTAAATGAGCTGGTAAGACGAATCGAATATGCATTAGACACGAGGAAGAATAAAAAAAAATGAAACATACAAAGGAAGCAGAGAGGTCGGGGGCAAGGGAGAGAGAAACGTGCACGTTCGACGACAGCGTGCCGCGATTTGAATTCACCAGCGACGAAAAGTTGGAAGAAAAGAGATAAAAGAGGTCCGCGGATGGCGACGAAGTGACTGCGTTTCGCGGACGACCACGTCTGCCAACAGGGGAGGGCGTGTTGCCAATTCGTTTTCGGCGGGCGTTTTTCCGTGTCGCTTTGTGCCAACTAGGCGAAGGGTCGCCGCTGGAGAGAATTTTTCTGTTTTCTTCGACTTCCACCCCCGGCATTTTTTTTCGATCTGATTCACATCGAAGGAACAACAAATCGTTTGTTCGTTCGCTCGCGCAGGAGCGACGATTCTATTCGCGTTTCTGTTCCTCGAATAAAGTTCCGCCGTTCTTCGCTTCGCGGATGCTGCGCGACCACCGCGACAGGCTCTAGTGACTGGCGGTCTTAAAATAAAGACGATCGCGGGGGACCGTTTCGAGATTTCAATGTCGATTGCAACTACATTATTCTTAGTAAAACGAAAGTATGACAGAAGCATAATTGTATCTAAATAGCGCGTGACGCGTTACGAGCACCTTAGCTATGTATTCGGGGCGTTTCTTCAACGTGCAATTCGATGTAATATTTCGGTATGAATTTAGTTCGAGTAACGTAAAAGTTGTATTTGATGCGAATGTGATAAATGCGCCGATTTTGTCCATAATCGCCACTAAAGTTGGCGAATGTGATCAATTCTGGAACATTTACAGTATCGTCTCGAAATAAGCAACTCGGTCAGGACCGGCGTGTTGCTTATTCCGAGACAATACTGTAGACACCTCTTTAATAGAGACTAAACTTGGACTTCCTTAATATCTTGCTTAACCAAGTTCAACCAAGGTAGCTGTGACGAATCAGTAAAGTCCGACCGAGTCAAAACAGGGCGCACGCTAAGGATATCGGAGCGAAATTCCGCCAACTTTCTTCATGTTTTAATTTCTCTATTTATGACAAAGTACAATCAGATACAAAGGAATGAAACACCATTCGAAGAGGTTATTTCTTTCTGGGAGCCTTCTGTTTCTCCTTCCCCTTGAAGATGGTCGGATCGATGACGTTGATGGGCCCGTTGTTCCACAGCGAAGTGGAGATGGTCTCCGTGGGCTCGAGAGTGGAGGGCAGTAGATGCGGCCCGACGAGGAAGTAGACCTGCTCGACCCACGTGGGCAGAGGAACGCCAGCCACGCAGCACTGCCACAAAGGCAGGCCAAGATGGACGAGCATCATGCGAAAGTACACGGTGAATGTGTCGGCCAAGTGGTACCATCGATCCGCGTCCTCTCGATGCAACCAGATACCAGGAGACTCTTGCTCCGGTTTCGCACGGTACACCAGATAGACCTTGGCCTTTCCACTCGCGGGGAAACAACGGGCGATCTCGAACATTTTGCAGCCCCGCGAGTCGGCCGGCGGAAGCGCGATCGCGTTTTCCTGGCTGGCTGAGCTTCCTGGCTCCGTCTCTGATCTCTCCGGATCGGTTTCCAGTCTCGAGGACTCCGCCTGGGGCTCTTTACCGCTGTACCGTTTCAAGGAAGACAGACTGCCGACCTCCATGCGGCCCACCGAGAATTCCTCGCCTGCGAAAACGAGCGGTGGTCAGGGTTACAGGGAAATTTTGCAGAGAGAATACGAGCCCCGGATTCATTCGCGAGAATAAAAAACAAACGAGTCTCCCTGCTGCCCTTTCACCCACTGGCGTCGCCCGTTGGAGGGATTCGTTTGTTTTCATTCTTAAGAATAAATCTGGGATTTCGTTCCCTTTATTCGTTATAAAATTCGCCTCGACTCTAAAGCAGCGTTTCGAAAATAGAACCGTGTCGTTTGTGGTCTGGGCGATCGTGGTCGCCGTATGATTTTTATAACGTCATTGAAATGGTAAAATTAACGTTAAGGCCCCAAATTTTATGACGATCACGATTTCTACAACCTGAACGTAACAAATAAGACATCTTCGCCCTGTCCTGTCCCTTCGAAGAAAAGGCGAAGGAAATTCGTGTCACCCGGGCGAATATCTCCGCGAATAGCAGATGGAGAGTCAAGAGTTCCATGAAGCTTTTCGCGCCAGGTGCGAAGAAAGGCGAAACGAGAGTATTGATTTCTCCCGCGTTTGAAACGTCGCGAATGGAACTATCGAGCGATCGTTAATAATTTCTCGTTTAATAATTAGCGCGAGCTCCAGGGGACACGTCGATAGGAACAACGAGTAAATCGACGCAACGGACGCTGTCGAGGCGTCGACAAAGGAAATCCTGGAAACTCGCGGATAATTCTCGTAATGAGTTACCCGCTATCTCGAGGTTCCACAGAAGCTGAAAGCCGTCGATCGAGGCGTAGAAGTTCCGAACATCCTCCGGGAGCAGGCAGCAATGCCTTTGCTCCCAGCTCGCGATGGCCGTGCACTCGCATCCGTTTCTTCTCTCCACTCGTACATTTTTCACGTAGACGATATTCTCCAGAATCTTAACCACGCCTAGCGTGAGGTTCTCGTAAAAGGAATCCTCGGTAACGACGTCCACGTAAAAGGACATGGCTGCGAGTGCAGTCGCGAACTGCGGCGTGCAAAGAAATTACCAGCTCGTATCATTGATTCGCATAAGTCGCAAGCAAACGATAGAGTACAAATTTTGTACGCGTTCGTACTCCGATGTAACGTGCAATGAAGTTACTAGCTCGTATAATTAATTACAAGTAAACGTATTATTACAAGCAAACGTATCGATAGATTACAAATTTTGTACGCGTTAATACTCCGATGCTTGTACCTACGAGTCTCAGTTAAAGCGGGTCCGCCTCGTGTCCCTTGTACATTCTCGTAAGACCTTCATCTTCCAATTCGTCGCGACGTATTTTTCATTTTCCCCCCTGGATCATTGCGCCCTCTCCCACCCCCCGCAATGCTTCGCTGTATTCTTCCTTCGGTTGGAATTCCGTCGTCTCCTGCGCGGGTATTCCCAAGCTTCGCTGCGGGAGTCCGAGTCGCTTCTAATATTTGCGGAATCGAGGCCAGTCGACTAAATCGTCCGGTTGTTGATCGCCATGGTGACCGAATATCAAACCGAGGCACCGTGTCTGGTTTTCAGCGTTCGCCAGCCCTAGGGGTCGTCGGTATCGAACGCTTGCGCAGGTTCGCTTGCACGACAGGTGTGGGAGAGGGTGCAGGTGGACTAATTATTATGCACGCACGGGGGAGTTTCTTTTCAGGCGGCGTGGCACTGCCATTTCGAATCGGAATGATTGTATACTATTTTCGAGCGTGCATTATTAACTATCAATCGAGGGCAGCGACGTCGGGGCCAATTAGAGTCGTGTTTGAAAGGTTGCTGGATCCGGAGGTAAAAATGCTCCCTCCTTGGTGCGACGCGAGCACCCCTCCCACATTCCCCCGTCTATTATCCTCTATCCGCTATCTTGTCTTTCGACCTCGCTTCCCGTGTCAACCCCTTTCCGAACCCCTTCGTGCTCGCGTCTACGCGCGATCGTCATCGATCTTTCCGTTTAATCCGCATTTATGCTTTGTCGAGGATGTAACGGGATCGCGAACAAAAATACGAAAGAGGGATGATTTTAAAGGTAATCCATAATCGGTAAAAATACTACCGGATGTGGGTGAATTATATTTGAAAAATGAAAGGTACCAGAATTATGTCCGACGCGCGATGTACACCAGGGCGAGGGGTCGAGGGGTTAAGTCCCTTTTCACCTGATTAACACGCTCCGTTGAGGCTTCGCAGTTCAAGCCATACAGTACTGGATTTCACGAGATTCAATATTCGTACGTCGTGCGGTACGGAAATGAGTTTAGCAGAAAAAAAATTAGCGTACACGCTAAACAGGATACTAAACTGAAAGAACGTCGGAAGTGAAGACCTAATGTCTTAGGCTTGCGAATGGAGATATAATGGAGCACCTTAACGAGATCAACGGGGGGGGGGCGCCGCCTAGGGACTACCCGGAATTAGAACATTTTCCTTTAACAGTGCAAATAGACATCTAAACAATTATTAAGCCTTTCACAAATTGATAAACAAGTATTCCCTTATGAATTCAGCAATGGTTTAACGATCCCTTCGATTTGTCTTTTTATAGGAGATCTTCCTGCCACTTTGCACCCTAGGCGTCTTGATCGTGGTCAAGGTCTTGCCACCAAATCCGAATTATCCCGCAATGACAACGCAGAGGCAGGAAGGTGGTATATTCGAGGCGTTCAACAGTTCAAAGAATCACACTGTAGCCGTTGTTCCTAACTCGACGGAAACTTTGGTGAGTACTTGTGGTGAGTCGGGTTACAGATCCGATAAGATCTGTTGCTTGTCGCGTCAATGTCAACGTTGAGATTTTTAATCGTACAATGAAAACCGGTCTCGAGTCGTTTCGCAATGTTTTGCTTTCGTTTTAGAACTTTTTGAACTCTATGAACGCCCTGTGGTTGTCGATGTGGGATTATCCCGGCAAGCTGCCCTTGAATTTTATGGTGTTCGATACGAAGGACGATCTGCAAGCGGCGTATTGGCGGGACCCGTATAGCGTACCCATAGCAGTGATCTTCGAAGACTCCGAACCTATATCACAACGTCTCCTGTATGCTAATTGGATTCTATTGTACAATCTAATGGGATCTCTCGCGTGAATTGAAATTCGTATTTGTATGCTTTCTAGCTACGAGATAAGAACTAATCCTTCGTACACGAATCCACCTTCGCCGACCGAATTGTATTCCGCTCCAGTTACTTGTAGAAAGGATACCAGTCACTGGATGGGTGGCGTATTGTCGATAGAGACCGGTGGATCGTGCCCCGTAAACAATTACTTACACTCCGGTTTCCTTGCGTTACAATTGATAATGGACATTACAAAGATAAGAGTACGACCTTGTTTATTTCGTTTCGCCGAAAGATTATATTTAATAACGACGATATGCTAATGGTATCTGTGCGTGTGTGTGTGTTTTTGCGATTTGCAGCTGGATACAGGAAACGCTGACGTAACCGTACCGGATGTTAAACTCGAGATGTTTCCAAAGGAAGCTTTTACTGCAGGTAAAATTAGGATGTTTAGAATATTTGACAGATATCATCCTGCTGTACGTTTCTGCACGTTGAGTTATAAATAATGTCTATCTAATATTAGAAAAAAAGATAGTAGACTAATGATTATAGAAGAAAGAAGATACCTTTGTTAGAGAGATTACTTTTATATTTAAAAAAAAAAACTGTTTAATTTTTTTCTCGTGGGCATACTTCTAAGAATATCTTTTATTTAGACTGGATGCTGGCCTTTAGAGTTGTTATACCTCTCTTTATGGTTCTGGCTCTTTCGCAATTCGTCACTTATCTCCTGATCCTGATTGTCGGTGAGAAGGAGAAAAAGATCAAGGAAGGAATGAAGATAATGGGCCTAAAAGATTCTATCTTTTGGTAGGTTTTGCTGTTTACGGTAGCGCAGTTCACAGATTCTATTTGATTTCAGAAAGCAACGCATGTTTAATAACACGTTTCTTGCACGAAGCCAATCGATAGAGAAATTTGCACAGAAAGTTTCCGAATTTTGTTCGAACTCGTAAGAAATAATTCCCTTTCTCGTTTCAGGTTGTCTTGGTTCATTATCTACAGCGTCTTTGTCTTGTTGCTATCCGCTGTTGCGGTGATATTACTTTTTACACTTCAGATGTTTCAGCACACACACTTTCTACCGATATTCCTTTTAGTAGTGCTCTACAGTTTTTCCATAATCATGTTTGCTTTCATGATAACGCCGTTCTTCGACAAGTCACGGGTAAGCGTTCGATTAAAAGATATTTTATTTTCGAAATCAATAGCAGCATAAAAATATGCTTCGCTTCTACTTTCCAGACCGCTGGTGTACTAGGCAACTTTGCCGTGACGATATTAAGCTTGATGTACTTTATCCAAGTTTTTGTGAAAGACTCTAGTTCAATCTCGTTCTGGGTAGTCTCTCTACTCAGTCCAACTGGCGTTGCTTTGGCAATGGATAAGGTTTGTATCTAAGAGATGTATTATTAACCAATGTAGCACACGCTATTACCGAAAGATTGGCAATTTAAAGAATATGTTTATAGGCACTTGTACTGGATTTACAAGGAGAGGGGGTTAACTTCGACAATCTTTGGTCAGGCCCTGGTATACCGTTTGGAGGGAGTCTCATCATGATGACTTTAGATATATTTCTGTATGCCTGTTTAGCCTACTATTTCGACTCCGTCATACCGAGTATGTATTTCAAACATGTTCTCGTTTAATACGTTCCTTATTAAATAAACGTTTATTCTAGGCGAGTATGGAATAAAACGATCTCCCTGGTTTTGCTTTACGCCTCGATTTTGGTGTCAGAGAAAAGCTCCACGGGTGGGTTTAATGCATAATAATACAAAGTATCGAATGCATTGGAAACTGGAAAAAATTTTGTTCACAGTCGTATTTACAGGTACCGTCGTCGAATGGCGAGTCGAACTCTTTTATACCTGGCGAGGAAACCAATCGCGACATCGAGCCAGTGGTGCGAGAAATGAAAGGACGCGAAGCTATTAGGATAGTCGGCCTTTATAAATCGTATCACAAATGTCGCAAGCCAGAAATCAAAGCTGTAGATGGAATCAACCTAACCATCTACGAGGGACAAATTACGGCCATACTCGGGCACAACGGTGCTGGCAAAACGAGTCTCTTCAACATACTGACTGGTCTCACTGCACCTACCGCGGGCACTGCCTTGATTTTCGGTTACGACGTCAGGGATTCCAACGACATGCAAATGATCAGAAGTATGACTGGCGTTTGTCCGCAACACGATATCCTCTTTGATCTACTGACACCACGAGAGCATCTTGAATTCTTCGCCGCTGTACGAGGTATTCCAAAGGGAATGATTGAGCACGAGGTTAGTATTCGATATTATCGAATATTAAAATACCTATTGTTTATATAAAATCAAGGATTTGTAATCGAATCGAGTCGTTAACGATACTTTCTCTGATCATCTTTAGGTGCAGAAGACATTGAAAGACATTGACTTGAACGAGCAAGCGGATACTTTCGCGAAACATTTAAGCGGTGGCCAGAAAAGGAAATTATCCGTGGGTATTGCCATTATAGGTGATCCGAAGATCATTATCCTGGACGAACCGACTGCTGGCGTAGATCCTTACTCCAGGAGACAGATGTGGTCCTTTTTGCAATCCAGGCGCCATGGAAAAGTAATTTTATTAACAACACATTTTATGGACGAGGCAGACATATTAGCAGACAGGAAAGCGGTTATCAGTAAAGGAAAGTTAAGATGCTGCGGTAGTTCTTTGTTCTTGAAGAATAAATTCGGCATTGGATATCACTTAACGTAAGTCGAAAACATACTACCGTATTTCCTTGAAAGATGTTCACAGTTTGTTTTTATTTTACGCTTGTGCAATAGTAATTAAACAAATTTCGTATAAGTATTACCTTAGTGTGTGGCTGTATCACTTTCGCGTATCGAGGTCTGACAGGCGAACATCTTCTAAGAAAGTACTTTCAATAATAAAGCGTGCATTCGATACACATTTATGTTTGCATTATAAAAATACCACACAGATTGGTACTTGAGGGAAACGCGAGGGAGCATGCCATTTCCAGATTAGTAAGTTCTCATGTAACAAAGTCGGAGAAAGCGAGACGTCACGGGCGCGAGCTGAGTTTCATTTTGCCGCACAACTCCGTGGAAAATTTTGCACCACTTTTCTCAGCCATAGAACACGAGATTAGGACTCGATCGAGTCGGCTGGGGATTAGCAGTTACGGGGTTTCTATGACTACATTGGAAGAAGTGTTTCTACATCTAGAGAAAGACGAGGGCACCGAGTGCACGATGGATAATTTATCCAAAAAAATGGTGCGTAACCGTGCACTAAGCAGGTCATTGTCGTTGCAATCCAAAAGCACTTCTTATCAAAGTTTGCAGAACGAAGGTGTCACTGTTCAAAACGATGGTCAGGCGAAAGGTGAGTTCATATTAGCCCGCGCAAAGTATTATTGAGATCTTAAATGTATCGTGCTTAATTTTAGGCGCAGGAGATTTACCAGAAGGCATTCAAAATGATAGAAACCCTCCTATTCTCGGCCTCGGATTAGACCCCATAAAGATCCGGCCTAATTTCCTACAAATTCTATACGCTTTGCTCCGCGTAAGGATACTCAGGCTCTTTAGGAACATCCAGTTACTGTACTTCACTATCGTTGCGCCTCTTCTTCTGGTAGTCCTTGGCCTCTATTTGAATAGCATTCAAATGGTTGAAATCAAAATGCAATCTCTCAGATTGAACACTGGTACGTCATGTCTTTCGTTATTAAAAAGCTGTTTTTTTTTTATTTTATTTAAAAGTGCTCTGTCAGATGCTAAACTCTCCTTGAATATTTTTACTTTCCGTTCTTTGAGGAAGGAAAAAATTTGTTTGAACAAACGTATGTACGTATGTGTATGTCTGTTAACATGATTGGGTCTGTACGTCTGAATAGATATCAATGAAACTTTATATTTCAGTTCAACATTCTGATTTCAAAATCTGATTAGATTTTGATCAAAATTGGTCCATGGATAATGATGGTTAACTCTTGATTTTTATTTTTTTATATATATATATATATATATATTTGCTATTTATTCATTGCTTGCATAAACTACATTAATAATGTACTTGGTTAATGTTTTAATTAATATAGTTAGTTGTTTGTTTTGGCTTCGGTAGGCACATACGGCAACGAGACTAAAATTTTGTACGCGAACAGTACCGATCACGATATCACGGACTTAATCGAGGGACTCCATCACGACGTGAAGTACATTGACGAATACTACGGAAGTTTCGCAAATTTATTGAAAATAGCACCGCATATGGCCGCTTTCAATATTAGCGAGTACAATGAACAGAGGATCAACTTAACCGTCGCTTATAACGATACCATGCAACATTCCCTACCAATTCTGATCAATCTTTTATCCAACACCTATCACAGGTAAGATCGATAATTCTTCATTTCTAAATTATTCTAAATTAAAATATTTACACGCAAGATTTGTTGTTTATGATTAGGTTGACCTCGGACAAAAGTTTTTCGAAACCGATCGAAGTTAAGACACATCCCTTTCAGCAAACTTCCCAACCGCAGGAGTTCAATATTGGTACAGGTAGCTCTACTGTGTTTATCGGAATGCATTTCGTACTGTTGCCAATAACTCTAGTTGTAGACATGGTCTACGATCGAGAAGTAAGATATCTTCTTCGGATGTCTGTTAAAACATACACTAATTGTTTGACTAATTTTCAATCTTACGTGCCCTTAGATAAAAGCGAAGAATCAACTTCGCGTGAACGGTCTGTCATTTTCTATGTACTTCCTGACGTACTTCATTGTACTCGTCGGCCTGATAATGTTCATTTGCTTGTGCATTCTCGGCATTATATTTCTCTTCGATGTGCCTTCGCTTCAAGAAATACCAGCACTTATCACTCTTGGCGGTCTTCTGATGCTTTACTGTCCGTCGTCCATTCTCTTTTCGACATGTTTGAGTTATATCTTTGACAAGATGGACTCCGCTCTGAGTATCTTGCCCAATATCGCAACTTTCTTCGGACTTTTCCCTTTTATACTAGTCACAACTCTTGATATGCTAGGTCTCAGTAAGTAACAATCGCAAATAAAATAATTTTTTAAGGATCGAATCTCTGTAGACTCATAAACGTTAAATATCGAATAACTAATTTTTCAGGTGGAACAGCAGCATTTATTTTACATGTAATCTTTTCTTTGTTGAATACATTGTACGTGCCATATGCTGCGGTGTATTATGTAGAACGAGTCCACCTGATGTGCTCCATTAATGCCGCTTGTCATCATCTGACTATGTCCGATTATCTTACCACAGAAATTATTTTAATGGCCTTTGGCGTGCTACTGCATTGTCCGGTGTGGTTCTTTATACTTTTGCTGTTGGACATTAAAAAGAGTGGCGGCAACGTCGGCGATATCTTCAAGCACTTCCTGGTTAGAATATTCTTTACATAGTCTGGGCTCATGCTTGTTACTTTAAATGATCATTATATACATTAAATATCACAGCGTAACGGCGGTTCTATCGGCGAGGAAATAATGGAGAATTCGGATATCGGAGAGCACGAGGACGCAGACGTTAAAGCCGAGAGGCAAAAAGTTTTCAATCTCATTACGTCATCATCCGTTCAAGAACCACCTGTAGTTCTAGTACAGGTATTTAGTTAATTTTGTATTATTCGTTTAAACATATATACGCATTCAATTTTAATTGTATTAAAATGTTATATTTATTAGAACTTGAGAAAAGAATATCGACAAAGAGAGTCAGGATCGTGTAGTTGTTGTCTCAAACAAGAGGAAGAAGCTAATCAGATACAACGAAAGGTCGCCGTAAGAAATCTGTCGTTAGCCGTTGAACCAGGAGAAGTATTCGGTTTATTAGGTCATAACGGCGCTGGTAAAACTACAACAATGAAGATCATCATAGCAGAAGAAGCGGCCACTCGAGGTAGGGTGCAGATCGGTGGTCATAACATTAATTCCAATATGGCAGAAGCTTTCAGACAGATGGGATATTGCCCTCAACACGATGCTCAGTGGAAAAACATTACGGTTAGAGAACATTTAGAATGTTACGCTGCGATACGTGGCGTACCGTGGGGAGACATCGGCAGGTGATTCATTCAAATTCAAATTCAAATTCTTAAAGAAATAATTAGAAATAATGAAAATAATATAAATTCCGTTTTATAGAATCGTGGACTTATATCTTACTGGTTTACAAATTCATGAGCACGCCGATAAGCAGACTCAAGAATGTTCGGGTGGAACTAGGAGGAAGCTTAGTTTTGCCATGGCGATGATCGGAGGTCCAAAAGTTGTTCTAATGGATGAACCTAGTACGGGAATGGATCCTAGGTCGAAAAGGTTTTTATGGGATACAATTCTCGCCAGTTTTCAGGTTGGTTTCTTTAACAGAATATTTGTTTCGATCTGTGATGTCATTTTTTCAATGGTAAACTTCTTACGACAGGGTGGTAGAGGAGCAATTTTAACGACCCATTCGATGGAAGAAGCTGATGCTTTGTGTTCTAGAGTGGGTATAATGGTGAAAGGAGAATTGAGGTGTATTGGTTCTACCCAACATCTGAAAAATCTCTATGGTGCTGGCTACACCCTTGAGATGAAACTCTTAGGCGGCGATTGTACGCCGACAACACCTTCGGGTGACAGGATTACGGGTTTGAAAGAATTTGTTTCCAGTCTCTTTCCAGATGCAAGTCTGGAAGAAAGCTTCGCTGACAGATTAGTTTTCGGCGTTCCCCAACACGCAGTCAACTCGCTGGCCGAGTGCTTTATGCAGTTGGAGAAGGGTAAGCGTAAAACTAACAAGTGCATCGCGTAATATATCTTAGCGCTATGGATCGTTACTTCAATCGAAATTTGAATTTCTAGCCAAACTCGAGTTGGATATCGAAGAGTACAGCTTCAGCCAAACCACTCTGGAGCAGGTTTTTCTCAAATTTTCTCACTATGACGAAACTAACTCGGGAGAATGATAACTCGTAAAGAGGAATGTGTTTGTTCTTATGTGTTGCATAGTGATATAATCGTGGAACTGTTCAAGTCGTGCGAAAAGTGTGATAAAATGTTCTTCTCTTTGAGAAAAGTGATTTGTTCTGTAGTGTTCTGACGCGAATACTATCCAGAACCGCGAAGACAGGAACGTTCTTTGGATTCTAAATATCGAGAACATTATAATAGTTGCAAACAAGATTTCACATTATCATTCGATGCAGACTTTGAAGTTAAGTATTCCTGTTTTAATTCTGACGATCCTGTAAGTGAAAAATGTCGTAATACTTACGATACACATCGATCGACCTAATACAGAAAAAGAAGAATTAGATGGTATACCCTTTTTTTTATGCTGATATTGTTCCGCGCTGTTATGTTCATCAGAGAGTTACAGTGACTTCCTGGTGAGTGTAATAAATAAACAGACGTGTAAAATTGACTTGTAAATAGTGGAGACTGAACGATTAATCCCATTATCAACAGAAGCGGTAATAATACTATTCAACGCTCATCGTCTTGAAATTGTATTGTAATCTAGTCTATTATTCGATTCCTACGAATAGCTCTCGCAATTAATATTGCTGTGGAATTGGAACGTTATTATTATCATTATAAGTATATAAACATTCGTTGACAGGGAAGAGAATAAGGAATCAACGCATCAATATTAAATTCTTTTTAAACGCAGTGAATTCAATGAATTACCTATCTACACTGACATAGTGGATAACCCTGAAAAGGTTTGTTCATTTAGCAACATCTTTAATCGCTCGTAATTATTTCGAGCGTTGTTAACATGATGACACCGTTGTTTAGAGAAAGACGCCGCTATATCAAGAGAGAGCTGCATATATACAATCGAGTGACTTAAATTGTGCATATAATGTAGTATCTAGTATATATTTATAAATATTTCTCCAACTGGCTTGTGGTCTTTATCAAAGCCTTTTGAATAACGAGAAAGACACGATAGGTTGTTAATCTTGCCTCAATAGCACGTAAGATGATAATAATTTGACGTGAGACTTTTCGTAATGAAAACCATTGAAGCATGATAGAGGAATTTGAATTTGATAAAAGATAATATGTAGACAAATTTTTATGGTCCATGAAATGAAACTTTATTGCAACATACGCGTGTAGATTTGATAATTTATTCTAGCTAAATCTAATCACTATAAAGTTCTGTGCTAGCAATATTTCCAATAGTGTATTTACTAATAATACGTTCATTCCTCTTGACAACTCTGAATTTATATTTATTTAGTTTTTTTTTTTGCAAATATGGACACAATTACTCATCATCAGAAACAAAAAATCTAAAACTGACAAAAACAGTCATTTTCTATTACGTTATGCAAGTCTATGCTTTAAACAGTTTTTAAATTTGACAATTTGTAGGTAGGTGTAGGAAGTACTAAATGTCTCATCTTATACAGGTCAGACTGTAAGCATAACCAAATTTGGTATGTGTAAAAGGATTCATTATTGGAAGGAGGTAGTCAAAGGTATTGAGAAAAAAGTGTATGTTCTCAAAACTTTTCGTAGGGGAATGTTTTTGTTTTAGATGTAAACGTGCATACGCTCGATATCCCGAGGACAGAGTCTCGAAAAATCGAGCGAAAAAAAAATAGTAAAAGCACCATTTGGAGGACTGAATGAAATATTTTGTAGACGATAGCACATAGGTAGTAAAAAATTTAAATCTCATCATAAAGGATGTATTGATTTTTGTAAATAAAACTCGTTATAAGAATTATTCATATTATAAATATATATATGTTATATATATTATATATATATCATATATATGTATATATACATAGGAAGTATGAAATAATTTAAAAAAAAAAAAAATAAATAAAAAAAATATGCGCTCCAACACGCGCGCATTTATAGGGATTGTGTACATACGCACAACTCTCGTTCTAGCTAATACCATATGATATAAAATTTAGTCAATTATGGAATTACACGAATGAAAACAAAAACTACAGACAATTTTATGAGAATCATACATAAATATATAAATGTGCGTATATTTATATATTTATATGAAGTATAATATATACATATACGTATACCATTTTTTAAAACAAATGTCACAATTAATAAGATACACAAGGATATTATAAACATTCCTAAAGACGAGAACCGTTGCTGCATTAAGAGATAGGCATACTTGCATTCACGCCAATTAATTTTCTTTCTTTTTCTTTTTTTATCTGTAGTTATACCATCATCTATCTTCTCTACTGATATTAATCGCCACTTTTTGGGCTTTACTTTTTACAGCTCGTTCATACATGTCGAACTTTCATATCGATCGATATATATGTATATACACAAATAAATATACAGAAATATATATTAATATATATATATGGATTTATATTTATGTATGCAATTGAAGAGTTTGCAACGCTAATCATTTCCATTTCAAACATGTCTTGAATATAGACTCGAGGAATCACGCTCAACAAACGAAATTAAATTCCGTTACTAATCTCATTTTAAATTTCAACTTCCATTAATTGAGACATAATTGAGACAATTGATAAATGGCATAATTATCTCTTCTATTGCAAACCATTAATACTCTTTAAAAAAATATTGTAACAGTACCATATACCATTAAATTAATTTCAATTACATTTTGAAATTTAAGCCTTACTTATTCTACAGTGATTTCTAAGGTTGCTATCGAAAACTTTCTAGTACTTCATGTTTTCTACATCGTAACTATGGAGAAGTACATAGAAATATGATGCTGTATAACGCTGTCCTATTATTTACAGAATCTACTGAGATTCCGAGTGTACGTGAAACATTGTTTCCTTGCGAGAATGACCAGGTGCACATAGTCGAAACTTAAGCTTGTAAATTGAATGTAAAATTGATTGCCAATTGGTATGTATGATTTTATAGGAGTAATATATACATATATATATGTATCGAGATACGAACCAGCAACCATTGTCGGCCGGTTTTTCGTTTTGTACATCAACGATCTCGTTCGTACGAGTGAAATGAACGGCAAAAACGAGAGTTTATCCTTTGCACGTACGCACTCATGCACCCACGCGCGCGCGATCGGCGCATCACGACTTTGCGCGTATAGATAAGACACGCACTCACACTCAAGGAAATTAAGAGAGAAAGAGACTCGTATAAAATAGATACAATTATTAAATGCGATTATCATCATCAATAAGCTACACGCCGAATACACCCTGTCAATGAACGATTGACTTTGCGGAACTACGTATTTGTTGTGTAAAGTGAATGTAATCAATTGGTTAACGGAAGCTTTTTCACCAATAAAAAAAGATCAGTTAAACATTTACGAAGTGTCCTTCTTCAAGCGTTACGTGTTTTTTAATTATAAACAGCGACGCATTATACCACCGTGGAGTCCAAGGCAAAATGAAATTTGGGGGGGGGGGGGGGGGGTCTTTCTTGAAGAAGGAACGAACGAAGGACACTTTTAAATTAAATCCTCGTTTTATTGAGACAATAAAACAATAAAGGTTTTAGCTCAATAATGGTCATGCTTATTTGTAGCAATAGTAAATAAGTTTTTTTAGTGGAAAAACTTATTCTTCGTACGCTATAAGCAAGTAAGTGTAACGAGTGTTTTTAAATGTTGATTTTGACGGACTCCTTTGACGGATGCCCTAGGCAGATAACATTCTTGTCTTCAGTATAATGCGCCACTGACTGTAAAGCAAGAAGGCTAAAAAGTGTCACAAATACCGAGGAGTTTCTTGTTTCTTAAATCTATCTATTGTTGCTTAATGTATAATTTAGACTAATCAATAATGATACACATTCCATCTAATTGATACTATTTATTATGTACTAATTAGCATGGTTTAAGGATAAGCATATTTTCTTTTGAAAGACTTCATTTCGCGGTATGGTGCGCGTATAATAGAAATCCACTGATTTTAGATGATCTTTTGAGGATCTTACATTTATACGATGAATTAAACTCATAACATTTGTTACGGTATCTTCCGATATCTTACATTTATTTTTACTAGACGAAAAATAATATTCGTTAAACAAAATTATATTTATATAATCTTTTACACAGTTGAAAAGACAATAGCTTCATTCGGATTAATTGGCTTCGATTTTATATACAGTTTTTGTAAATTATTCAAACTCTTTGTGTTGTAAAAGAAAGATTTTAAACTACCACGAAATTATTTGTACTACTACATAGATAGCATGAATTTCAGGAATTAGCGTACAATACATATTTGTCCTCCATTTGTATTTATACTAATAATTCTTACGTACGTATATAATTATATATATATACACGTATATGTATAGTATATGCTTTCTACCGAACAGAATTTACATATAATGAAAAGTGTTCGTCACGTTTCGTGAACTGCAAGGCGTATCAAAAGATTTCTGATTATCCTTAACAATAGCGAGCCACTTTTACTAAGATATCTTGATGATTTGTTTACTAATGATTGCCGACGATAACGATAATAATTAACTCTGTAAAGGGCGTTAGGTCCGTCGCTTCGGATAAATAAATTTACAACTTTCAATTTATTGTATTATTGTTATATTACAATAAATATATGTATACAAGACGGTTTATAAAATTGCAAAGAAAATTTATTTATGATCAGCTCGTTTCATGATGTTCAACGTACGCATGGTGAATCACTTACAAGCTGCCTGAATGATTTATTGACTTTTAGCGAGAGACAAATGATTCAAGTAAATCTTACGTGGTTTCAAGGGCCAATCGGATAATATCCTCCTCGAAACCAAGCAAAATTTGGTCGAAGCATTTTCACCAATCGCTAAATGTTATTTGGATGACCTGCTTAAAGTACCTCACCCTGTATAACAATTATACTAACAAAATATCGTCCATGGCGAAAACTGTCCTAGATAGTCCTCCATAGATGTTCTCTATTATCGTTACCCATATTTTAAATGTTTCTCTGGTTATATGGTGACATCTGATAATTACCCTTTTTTACAGTATTGTTCAGTATTGTTACAGAGGAATTTCTGCATTTTTTCAAGTGCGCATGCGTCTTGTAATTTAAGGAGCATTTAAGATATGGCCGAGCTCAGAAGTTGCAGAGTCTTATTTGATCTTATTTAGAACCTTCTTGTCCAGGAGCTTTACAGCTAAAGTTTGGGTTAATGAAATGATCGAATAATTTATTAATTACGCAATTTGATTTGATAAGAGTCCAGTACACCAGCGCGTATATGTAAATACATATATATCAGGCAGGCGATCGCTTTAATTTGGTTAATTTGTTTAGAGTTGACATTAGTCTGAAAATGCGGGAAACGAATATCAAAGGCTCCAATACGAATTTTACGTCTGTAAAACTACTCTGTGTTATTGCAGACAGTACAATATTTGTATGCAATCGTCGTAGTTTGACATCATTAACGTTTGAACCAGTTTGAACGTAACACCAGATCGACACGTGAGCCACATTGTAAGTTTTCTTAACAATTTTATTATTAATCATTCTCGCGCGTAATTCTTTGTTTCTGTTTAATTGCCTAATAATAACTGAAAAATTATAAGGATGTCTAAATGCTACTACAAAAGTACTGCTTTTGCTTTCTTTGAAAATGATTTATTCTTACATCATGATTATAATAACATTTACATGCATATAATTTAATCGTAAGATTCTTCGCATTTTACATTCAGTTTATCCTAGAACGTTTTCCAAATTTATTGCTTTTTTACAAGTATGTCATTAAAAAGATCTTAACTATTACAAAAACACCTCTATTTTTACATATAAAATTTCTTTATATACACGATGATATATGTATAGAGAAATATATATTGTAGTACGGTTTTATTTCTATTATTCATAATAAAATCTTGTTTGTCTCAAGTTAATTAAAATACAGACACATATAACTGCATTTAGAAAATAATATCAGATTATTTAAATTTCATCAGAATTCTAAACATAATCTTTTAATTGAAATAGTTTTAATTTAAGATACATGTCGTAACTGTACATAAGAATATTAAAATGCATATTAACAAGATTTTATTATTTATTTCTATCAATATTCTTACATGGAAGGTAGTTATGTATTACTGTTACGAAATAAAGTTTCATGTATTTTGTTGAATTTATGAAATCAGAATAACAGCAGACTTCTGTGTAAGTCTGCAAGCTCCCTTTACTATATAACTTTACATATTTTTGTTACTTTCTGTTAAAAACATGGTACAATTATTATAAATCATAAAAAAGGTGATTTAAAAGTTCTTCTATATTCACGCTTTTAACTATCGATACATCTCTTGATCTCTGTTACAAAATATTGAAAATTACATCCTTAACGTGTATTATATAGCATAGTATATTCTAGAAACATTTCCACTTTTCTTTATCTCATAAAAGAACTGAAATGTTTATTAACAAAAGTAGAAAAAGGATGAGATTATACTAAGCAAAATATAAAAAGATCATTTCAATCTGTGAAGTAAATATTTCTAAATTGTTTTCTACCTTATGAATTCAATTAATTCTTGATACAATAAATTAATTACATGTCTAGTTCTAACTTTGTTCCTAATATGATTTTGAACATTTTAATCACTGAAGCAAAATATGAAATGATACTTACGAAACTAAAACTTTTCAGGACCTCTACACGAGAACATTTTATAAAGCAATTTAACAGCTATCAAATAATGTTTTCATTTGTCCGTGAAATTTCGAGAGGTCCAAATTGTATACATAGAAGTTTTAAATTCCTATTTATAATATATTACAATACATATATTTACCACGAATCGGTCTTAAAATTTAGGCTATTTTAGTGTTGAAATATCCCTAACTTTCATGATTAAATTATGTTTAAACCGAAGTTTAAGACTAAATAAAATTATTATACAACCGATCATTTTAATATTTTGTGCTACCATCGAAAACGCTTTTCATAAAATTCACATTTGTTCTTTACATGAGATCAAAATGTACGAAAATGGTAGCATTCACGTATGTTAATATGTTTGGTGAAGTTACTACAAAATGTTTTAAAAATGCAGTATTTTTTCTTCATTCATATTTGACGAAATTATTGCAATTTTTTACAAACTTTATTTTTACATCTTTTTTTTTCTATGAGACACATATAACTGCATTTCTTAGTTTTACCAATGATCAGGACAATAAGTAGAAAATATAAGAAAAATGCAAATCGTAATCTTAAAAATTCCAATAATTTAGAGTTTCCTCCTTCAGGTGGAGAGGTACAAACGATGATAATCGTTTGCTCCAAAAGCACAATTACATTTTGGACATTTTCGCTGTCGTGTCTCATATCTTGTACGTAAGCAATCCCAACAGAATACGTGAAAACATTTAGTCAAAACTGCGTCTTTGCGTTTTACTTTGCAAGAAGGACAAGTGAGAGTCTCTTTGTACTCCCGTAATTCTTCAGCCATTACTTCGTCCAAAGTTTCTGCGAGTTCTATCTTTTTCATCCTCTCTACTTTACGTCTCAATTGAGCTATCTCCTCCTGCACAAAAATACAATAATAAAAATAACTGAAGTTTCCTATCGAATGTTAAATAGTTTTCGACCTTAATAAATAGGATCAATCATCTTTTCTAAATCGTACCTGTAGTCTCTTTGTTTTGTAAGCTTCTGCTTCCAAGGAACTGGTTTTTTCAGCTACAACTTGTTGTGCTTCCTTCATCTGAGAATGATATTTTTCTAACCGAACAAAAAATATAATGTATACATATATATATAAATGAATATTTTCGTCAAAGAATATCCAAAAATTTATAATCAAGTCTCTTACCTAGATGAAGCTTTAAATCAGCTGCAGACTGAGCGCTTTCGATAGCTTTTCGTTTATGCATCTCCATTGCCTGTTGTCTCAAAGCCAATTCTTTTTCGACGGTAGCAAGGGAATTCTGCAGAAGACGTTCTTTCTCTTCTAATTTACGAACAACCACGTTGGCAGCTTCGACTTGCGTTGTTAACGTAGACACTTGTTCCTTCAAAACGTCCTTCTCTTCTCTGGCCAATTTGTGCAGTTGATTGCTCTTAATCCTTTCAGTCATAAGTTTGAAATTCGCGTCATCCTTTTCGCGTAACTGTTGTATCAATCTAGAGTTCTGTTCTTGCATGTCTTCGAACGCTTGTCCAGTTACTTCCATTTCGTTTAAAAGAGCCTCTTCTTCCTGGAGCCACACACAACTCTGTTCAGCATTATTCTCAGTTCATGGTTTTAAGCAAGATTCGTATTTCAGACAGTTTACCAACAGACCTGGGCAAATTTCATTTAAGATGAAAATAATATTTTTCCGTCTATTTACGAATAGAAAATTAATTATTTTTTTATTGAAGCAAATGACTATTTCATCTTATATTCACCTAGAGAATATGCTAGCAAAGTTTGTGCGAGTACCTGTGAAGTAAGGTAACATGTTATTTGAAATAATATTTCAAATAACGTTAGTTAAAACATGTCCAGATCTGTTTACCAATAGGTTAATAAGCTGTTCTTATTTGATTTATTGCAAATCGTTGATATGGGAATTTACCTGTTTCTGTGAAGCAACTTGGCGCTGAAGAGTATACGCTTGCTCCTCCAGCTTTTTAATTTTTATTTGTGCATCCTCGTCTGCTAACTTTTTGCGTTCCTCGCGTTTGCTTTCCTGAAAAGGGAATGCGTTCATTACGAAATAATTCTATATGTTTCAGGAAATTGTAAAACGAAGTCTTATAATAAACACGTACTTGGATTTTCTTTATTTGTTGGCGTAATTCTTCCAATTCCGCTCTCGTTTTTCGTTCAGCGGCCATTAATTGTACTTTATCTCTTTGCTCTTTTCCAACGCCTTTGTACATATCTAATAATAATTTCATTTCCTTCATTTCGTTCACAGCCTTTCTATAATTATAACGAAACAATGTTAAACGTTAAATAATAAATACATATAAAGCGTAAGGACTAAAATTCTTCACAATGTTAGTTCGTACGTTGTTTAAATATTATATTTGAACGTACTTCAGTTGTGCTTTCAGGTCTCTGACAAGTTCTGATTCCGCAACTTTCGTATCTTTATTGCGATGAGCAGGATCACGGTGTTCAGTTTTAACAGTTTCTTTCTTAATATCCTTCTCGCGTTTAATATCTTTTTCTTTTTTTAGAGTTGGAGAAGTTAATGTCAAAGAATCCGGAGTACCTTTATTTCCTTCTCCTTCTCCAACTTCAATAGTCTCAACTTCTTCTTCTCCACATTCTCGTTTTATCGATACGCCACTTTCTTCTTTAATCTACGTTAACAGAAACATATAAATCCATTATATTAGAAACTATTTTTACATTATTTTTAAGTGCAGATATATTATTTTGTACCTGTGTAGAACCTGGAAGAGAATTGGACGCGTCTTCTTCTTTTCCACTGCCATCCGAATTATTACCTTCCTTATTTTCCTGCGATGTTTGTTGACCTAATTTAGCTGTAAGATCCTCGATTTCTTTCTTTAGCTACAATAAAGCATTGGTATCAGCTACAAAAACCTCAAATTATTCGCATGTTTTTGTTTTCAAAATGTATAGTTAATAAAACATACTCTTGGTATTTCTGAAGAGGCTTCTTTGTATTTCCGTTTATAACGATGAACTTCACCTTTTAGCTGTTGATTATGATTCTGAAGAGATGTTATCAAATGTCTCATTTCTCTATTTATTGGTCCTGTTTGTTCATTTGCAGCTAAATTTTGTTCAAATTCGATTCTTAGCATTTCATATTCCTTTCGTAATTGTGCTAACACATCCTCCAGTTGTATGCATTCTCCGCGCAGTTTTTTTTGAGCCATCAATTCTTCGCTCTGTCAATAATAAATTTATATAAATTCTGTCTAATTTATATAAAGAAATGAATATACTTGCCTCCATCATTTCGATGTGACGCAAATGAGCGTTTTTGCTGGATTGTAACTGTTGACGTGCATCATCTAATTGGGTTTTCAATTGCATTGATTCATTGTATAATACAGAAAATTGCGATTGTAAACATTTGTACTCTGTTGTTTCAACGATTACCGATTCTGGAAGTTGTCGTATCTGTAAATATAAAATATATTTCAAATAGAATTAAAAATAATACTCGATACGATTTTCAGGCAATATTCGATTTTTTACGTATACTTTATTAGAAAGTAAAGAAGTAAACACAAGAAACAAGTAAAAACAAGTTAAACATGAATATTTATTGCACATGAAATTAATTTACATTCTATATCGTGCATTGTAAAGATTTGATATACAGAAACTAAGGAACTCACATCCATTTTTAATTTTTCTACTTCTTTCAATGCATCGCGATGTTGTTGATGCAATTTGTCCAATTCTTGTAACCTATTATTAGCTAACTCTCTTGTTTCTTCTAATTCTCTTTGTAAATCTTCGAGCTGTATAGAAAGCAAAATTAAACGAATTAATTTTAATTGAGAAATAACATTGTATCGACGAAAGAGTACGCCATACCTTCGTTTGCGAAACGCTAGATGCAACCAGGGTATTTGGCTTATTACTACCCTTCTCATCTGTACCATGTATTTGTTGAAACGCCTTTAGCTTTTCAATCGCTTCTCCAAGATGGTGTTCTAATTTATCGTTACGTGCTCGCACTTTATTCAATTCATACTGAAGATCATCTACTTGATTACGAAGTTCCGCGGCAAGTGTATCTTTTCCTGTGATAGTGTCTTGTAGTTCTGACATCTATAAAGTAATATATTCGTTGAAAAAAAAAATACTCACACAAGAATATAACTTGTTAAAGTAAATAAACTTAAGTTACCTTTAACGAAATGGTATGATATTTTTCATGGAGCTGTATGTTTATTGCTTGAAGGTTCCTATTTTCCATTTGTATTTCAGCATTTGCTCTGCGTACCACTTCATCAATATTAGGTGTCTCTTCTGAGATTAAACAGCATGTCAATTTATGTTTTAACTCATTATTTTTACAAAGACATGAAATTAAATTACCTCCATCAAATTCCCCTTTGAGAGCAAGAGTAATTTTTTCATTTCTTTGAGAAAGACGATCAAATGCCTGTACAACTTTAGAAACTGCACGTTTGGAAACTTGAACACGATTTGCTAGTTTATCATCCAACTCTTCCTTATCCCAGGAAGAGAGTTGCATGAGAAACGATGTCGTGGCTTCACTTTCATCTAGAATTAATAATAATAACTGTATAACTTACACATACTTAACGGAGTAACAGTCCTATACAATTTACTCCTTACTTTTATTTTCTGATTCATCTGCTGTTTCAGCATCAAATCTCTGAAGTAATACACGTATGTCTTCGTTTAATTGATTCCAGTAGCGATTTACAACATTGAGTACGGCATCATCCTGCATTTGTCGTTTTTCTAATTGTTCAATCCGTTGCCTTAATTCTGCCTCTACTCTATGACGCTGTTCTAACCGCTATAAGGATTAACGCAACAGAATTAAGTAACTACATGAAGTATCAAATATTTATCAAGTTATCATATATCAAAATTATTAAAGAATGATGCCAAATATTAAAATAAAACGAGTAAAAATGTTAACCCGATCTAGGTATTAGACAATATCTTGAAGTTCTTAATTGTTTAAATTATTATGTGCTAGCAATCTGATACCCATTTTCTATGATTGTGAAAGAAATAAACAACAAAAGTTGAGATTAATGGAAACAAAATGATATGTAAATACTTTTGCAATTGAATGTTTTTTTTTTTGCTGTTTTTTCAATGTTATCCCATTTTACCCGCGATCGTAAATTAGTGTTACGTCGAAGACTTCACCTGGGCCAATTTTTTGTTTTGAAATTGTAGAACTTTCATGTCCATTTCTTCGAGGGTTGATATAGGTCCGATTAAAATAGGTTCGAATTGAACTTTTTTAATGGGTGGCTGGGAACCCGAATCCCCGCTGTCTGCAGGTCGTTTTGACATTTTGTAGTCCTTTCTGAAATCAACGAACGAAGAAAATGCTTCACGAACGATACATTTGTAACACGATTTACAGTTCAGTGTCTACGAAATTTGTTATCGATCAAAAAGAATCCGTACCTTGTACCGTGTATTAATACCTTCAGCGATGCTCTCCACAAATACTTTGGAGTTTCGATATCGCTATGTCATTTTTGTACGTCTAAAACCTGCCGAAAAGAGTTTACTTTCGACAGATCTTTACATTTTATTGTAGATGATCGACAAAAATTACGTGCCCATAACGGAAGCCGCCATTGTGTCACAGCGTTGCGTTGCATACGCGGCAAATCAAAAAATAAGGTGAAAACATCGACATTCACCATGAATACGAAATCGACATAGACGCGAAACACGATCTCGTTCCCTTCTTGTACTCGCCGCTAGATAACTCTTACTCCGAGCAACTTTCTGTTTCTCGCAACAGCAACTCTAGTCTCTTTCTTCTCTACGCCCAAAAATTAAATTCGTTAATTATGCTAGTTAGTGACCCTCTGGCGCTAATTAAATTGAGAGTCCATCTATTGCAAATCGAGCAAAATAAAAATGTGGATAACATCGCCTGTTACCACGCCGATGAAAGATATTTCGTGTTGGGCTTGAATCACCTTTTTCCTTTATTTTCTTATAAATTGTTCGATACAAAAATCTTTAAATATTTGGGTAATGTAAAAGAACATAATTGTATCTTGTAACGTTATATATTTGATATATTTGATACGTTAATTTATTCATCGGTGAACGCTTTAAGAGAGTGCGATTCGTAGTAGGTTAAATTCAAAATTAACGCCAGCGTTTCCATAGAGATCCACCTGGTATGAAATTGACCGCGCGTATAGATCAAACTTGTGAAAAGAAACACTCTGCTCTGTCGAACAGACGAGAGGATTTTTTGAGATTTACATATAAAAATAGGGAAGAATGATACGCAATCGTGCATTCGCTTTGGTTCCTCCGCCCCCTTCGAAGTTCACCTTAAACGAATGGCATCTTAATAATCGTCATAGGTATATATATAATATAATCTAACTTAAAACATATACAAATTATTATAGATTAGCGTTATTATTAGTTGGTACTTTTCATATCTCTATTTTTAACGTTTTCGTTTCGATTTAACCAGGTACCGATGTTCCGAGGCACAGCAAGAGCTAGCGGACCGACTTCTAGCAGAGACGAAACGCGTATGCGAATTAAGCACCGAGAAGACAAAGAGCAACAAGGATGAGACAGATCACAGGCTCGAGGAGAAACTGGAGGACATCGAGTTTTGCAAAAGAGAATTACTGCGCATAAGGAAGGAAGTACTTCTCGAGAGCGATTCTCTATCGGTATACAAAGAACGCATCATGGATGCCTTATCATCCGTGAAGAGGAATGCCCTCGCTATTTGTGAGAAATGTCTAATTTTTAGGTCAGCATAACAAAAATCTGATTATGTATTAATCCGGATGTTGTATTAACAATCTTCGTTATCGCATTGTAGGGAACATAGGCTGGGAATCGATCTGGTTCGCGACGATGTCGACAGAGAATTGTTGAAGGAATGCGAGGTGATCAAGGGTGTCGAAAATCTGCTGGTACGCGTTCTGGAGCAAACTCAAGAACAAATACGCCGGCTAAAAGCAACGCTCTATTATATGGATCACGACCTCGAAGATAAGGAGAACAACCTGCGTATAGACAGACATAATTTGACTTTGAAAGAGACTGGCATGAATTTAAGCATTTATCACGGCACCTCGCGGCTCGATTTATCGTACGCGTCGCTCTTATAGTCCTTTTACTTAATTTTCCTGCTTTCTGTATTTGCAAAGCTTAATCGTTTGAGATTCATTGTTCTCTGTTAAGAACCATCGAGCTGAACGAGTGGGAAATGCAAACAAACAATAACATCGATGCCGCTTCGAAAGAGATAAATAGCGCCAGACCGATGCGTTGTTATATCGACACGATAATAAAACAGTCGATTGACGACTTGAACGATCAGAAGAACGCCACCGATAATGCTTTTATACGACGCATCGATGAAACGAAAGAAGCTAAAACGAAGTTAGAACTACAGCACTCCGAGGTGCGTGGTTCTGTGTAGCTCTAACTGAAACATTTCTAGACTTTATAGTTTACGGTTTATGATAATATCGTACTTCGACGAAAACAATTACGTATAATAGTATGACGATTCTGTAGATCACTCTCTTAATAAGTCAAGTCTTTCCCCCACTATTGCCCTAAAATCAACATAATCCTTATGAATATATAATGCAAAGTAGACCATAACGTATCTTATCTGCAGATAATGCGACAAGCGAATGAAATGAAAGACAATATCACGCGCATAGAGAAATCAATCGCGGAAAAAGAATGCTATTTAGCCCTGGCCCATACGAGACTCGGTAATCGTTGTCAACGACCTGGTCTGGAGCTCACGCGAGACCTGGTAGAGACCCAACTCGTAAAAGAAGTATACGATTTACGCAACATCGTGTCGAATTTGCAAACTGCTATGTTCGAGGTTCGTATCGTGAAATGGTCAATCAATTTGTTTTTTACTTTAGTGTTATTATTATACGACCGAATGTTATAGGCACAGGCATCGCTGCGCTACCTGCTGAAGACGCAAATTCAAATCGAAGAAGATATCAACATTAAAGCGAATACGTTGAAAATCGACGAGGTCGACTGCATGACTCTTCGTCAGAGTATGGACTATCATGCGTATTAAACAACTTATATACAAGTTTATTGGAATGTAATAAAAAATAATGTGTTGGATCTGTGTTACCTTCAAAGTTTGAATAACGCCATCTTGCATTTAATTCCCGCGACAACTAGATGTTTGCGGAAAAGGAGATTACGATTGGTGTACTCAGGGATAACTCCAACTTGTGCATGCGCAGGCACACTGTTATTAGCATCAGTAAAGTATCTAATACGATCGTAAAACTGGCACGCTTACTAAGGGCACCTTAGTCGCCCCAAAGAATGGATGCGTTCGGCAAAGATAAAGTTGTGATGTATTCTAAGCTGTTAGACTAATCGAAGCAGAGAATCCAAGTTATATAATAGTTGTCTCTGCTGAATGCACCCAATGATAGAAATATAAAATAATTGGGATCACCCATCGTTTTCTATAGCTACAGTACTGCAAGAGTTGAAGTCATCCCTGCCCCCACACGAAACGATTAACGACATTATTGTAGATGCATGTATACACACGAGTGTCACCTGCATTTAATAGTATGCGTAGTTTCCTCATTGCTCGTCGCAACTCGCAACTTAAAAACGTCAACATCTGATTCTCAACAGCACTACTGACATTCGTGTGATTTGATGACAAATGCAAATCGAATACGTGTCTCACTCCATATCACAGTTATACGTTACGGATAGATAATTCATTTCCTACTTGTTGTTTTCAATCGGATTCCACTTCTGAATTACAAAAAATGGCAAAGGTTACAATAAACTTGTTACCTGCAGATATAATCATATGCATCTTAGAAGACAGACTACTCGGTTTTTTGGACGTGGTTAATTTCAGTTCAACGTGCAAAAGTTTATATAGAAATGTCAATAACAATAATCAGATTTGGAGGACGAAATTTTTTCAAAGGTACGTTTATTCACGATGAAGTAAATAATTTCACTGAATATTACACGCTTTGTTGACTCTTAAACGACCGTTAATATCTTTTTGTCTATTTGGTGTATCGTGAGATTCTTAGTAATCTTCGGAGTAAACACGACACTTTAATGCTTTATTTACCTAATTAACTAAAACGCAGATTGCTATTTTAATACGTCGTATAATATTCTCGTTTCATAGAGAGTGTGCATAACGACGTATAAGCATCATTCGTATACATATTTTTATGTTATTGTTATGTTTATGTTATATAAAAAAATGGACATATTGAAAACCGTGCTTTAATATGAGAATGTTTTAATAATAAAAATAATATATGCTATTTTTTTCATTTGTGAAAACCTTAGATGGCCACTTTTGAAAGAAGTTTATCAAACAAATAATGAAGTAGATAGTTCAACGATAAACTGGAGGGACGAGGCTAAAGCTAGTTTAAACAGCAGAATGAAGTTGCTTTATCATCTATCATTGATGTCTAGTAAACACTATAAAAAGCATCTGTTATTACCAAACTCCGTGTTTAAGGAGTTCGATCATCTGTTTCTTGTGGAGGAAGGTGCTCACCCATTAGCTTATCACTTTCTTGTAGATGAACTTTTCAGCTTGATCAAAGCACCCGCTATGTAAGTATTACTTTCATCAGATGTGATATTTTGAGACTTTGTAGTATTGATTAATAATTTTTCATATCATATATATTTCTAGAAGTAGTAATCTAACGCATAGGTATTATGCTCTTAAAGTTATTCGATATTTAAAACACTGTCAATTGAGGAACGAATGGAAAAAGTTTACGTCCTTACCACCAAAGGAACAAACTTTGGAACGGGGAGCAGTCATTGTAGCTCAATGGAGTCAACCAGAAAAACATATATCATACTCATATATATCATCAGTATTGGATAATATAGCAGATCAAACTAAAGAAGTACTTAGAGAACAGTACCCGAATCACTCCATATTTTCGACTTCAGCAGATCAATTTAATGTTTGGAAAAATAATATTATCGACGATAATCAATGGAATGTTACGGAATCAAGACAAATAACAGATGCATTGTGCCAAGTATTATTCCAAAAATTAGGATTTTCTGGAAATAGCGAGATGTTTTATTTATCTGAAAATTCATTTATAGATTGTGTAAGTTATAAATTATAACCATAGAAATTCATAATAATTTTCAAGTACAATTTATGTTTATATAAGCAATGATATATTTGTTGGAGTAGGTCTTAGAACAGAGACGTGGAATTCCCGTAACTCTAGCGATAGTATTCGAAAGTGTTGCTCGTAGATTGGGTATCCATTGCGAACCCGTTAACTTTCCATCCCATTTTCTGTTACGATGGAAGGAATCGTAGTAAGTTTTCGATTTAACAATTTTTTTAACAGTAATTTAATTTCATATTTTATCTAACAATAAGTTATATTTCGTTTTAGTGTTTCCGGATCGGAAGGTGGAGAGAATTTTTATATCGATGTTTTCAATGGTGGTCAATTTTTAACTCAGAAAAGTTGTCCTAGAATTGGTGTGGTTTCAAAGTGTCCGATAGAGAAGTATAATATTCATACGGCGGCAACAGCTGTAGAAGTTTGTACATTTTTAAATAAACAAAACATTATTCCATATGCTTCTTCGACTGTAATACTCACCTGTAATTTTTAACAGGTAGTAAGCAGAATGGCAAATAATTTGGAATTTGCCTCCAGACAACACACTCATGATTTACACAGAACTGCAAGATTACTTTCTGCTCTTCAATTTCAACATATGATATTTCCTAATGATGCGAGCATAATTTCGAAGTTAGTTCGTACATATATCTTATGGAATATGGACGTAACGGAACTAGTGGAAATATTAGAAAACATAAGAGACTCGAAGGTATATTTCATATCGTTGATGCTATATGTTATAAAAAATTGTCTGCGAATTTCATTTAAAACTGTATTAAAATTTTGTAGACTTCAGAAGTAATAGCGAAAAGGCAAGCAAATGTTATTTTACGGTTACTTCAGGAACGCCAAACACATTTACCACGAGAGGTATGAATAATTATTTTAATAATTTCATAGGACCATGTTAATATTTCAATTACCACTTAGAATAATAAATCGTTGTGTACATTTTTAGAGAGAAGTGGAACCTAAGAAAAGAGTGCCAGGTATAACATATGCAGTAGGACTGATAATGAGGCACAAAGTATATGGGTATCATTGCGTGATAAGAGGATGGAATGCACGTGATAGTATGTCCCCGTCGTCTATGAATCAACTAGAAATAAGTGATCTAAGGTGTATCACCAGCCGAGATCAAAAAGTTTATACTGTATATGTAGACGATGGATCGTGTCGGTTTGAGGTTGAAGGTAATACTGATTTTATATTCAATTTATAAGCGATAAGGAATAAGCCGTTTCAATGGAATATTTCTGTTTTTATTAGAAAACCTGTCTCTGGCTCCGCAACCAGGATGGATAAATAATGATGCCATTGGTAGATACTTCTGCAAATTTAATGGTACTCATTATATACCGAACGAAGAAACAGCGCGAGAGTACCCAGAAGATGAAAAAGTCCGCAACGAATTACTTGCTACATATATGCAAAGTGATATGTAAAATGATACTATGCAACAGCTTCCTTATCTACTTGGAATACAAGGTAACGCTCATAGAGGAAATGTTCATTTCCGTATAACCTATTGTGGGATGAATGATAAGAAGTCATATTTTCATAACAGGAAAGGATAAAAATAAACATTTTAATTTTCGCGTTTCGTCAAATGTAATCTTTCGTTCTAAATAAATTCCTGTATTTTTCTAAATAGGGAAAAACAAAGAATGTAAAATCTTTCTGTGTACATGTTATTAAAAACTCAGGAATTATAGGTTATTAATTGTAATGGGTTAAGAAAAGAAACACACTACTGATTACAGATAACGCTTATTATATAGAATTAATAATGCTATATAATCGTCCAGAGAACGTAGAGTACCTTCTGACTTCTAACTCGTTCATATGTGATATAGATGCATATGAATATATTATCTGTAATAAGGATGAGAGGGTGATCAACGCTTTAATGATGGCACTACGTTATGTTCGTAAGTACCGTGTACTAATCGATTTATACTTCTTATTCAAGTATTTAAATTTTTAATGGATAGTAAACGAAAACGTGATTTGATCGGGAATAGTTTTACATAAATTAGTTATGGTTTAAATACACAATAAAAAGTACCAATGAAATATATTTATTTAAGTGTGGTCTTTAATCGATTTCACTATCGCAGGCTGTGCTCGACTAACGTATAATCGAAAGCAATCACATATAAATAGTACAAAATTTGTTTTCATAATATTTGCAATACCGTTACCATTCGAAGAAATAAAGCAAACTTCTTGAGTATTTTTATTCTATATAATATATTAATATTCAAATCTAAATAAGTGAACATTTACCGAAAAAGTAGCATATGTGTCTAACGAACAGTGATGAAGAATGTAAATTACATGGTATGGAATGATACCGAAGTCATATGTTTTTACGTATGCTTTTCTCGATCTGAAACATATTGATCCACGTTTTGACAACTATTAACATCTAATTAAAATAACAAAATTGTGTCATAACGAGTAGTGAATTATCGTCAAATTATTACAAAATATACGCGCGGTATGTTATATCTTATGTTTTTAAATATCGTTTTGTACCTGTTATAAGACAATTACTTCAATAGATAGTTCCACTTATGATAATACGTTCAAGTATATCAGATCTATAATCTGAGTATTTTTACTTTTCTTTTTATCACTTCTAATAAGAACAATTAACGTATAGATGAACAAAAAATCACAGTACACTTGTAATATTGTAATATTAAGTACAGCGGATGTAATTCAAGGAGAACTCGATGAGTGAGTTTCTTCTAGTGACCTGTAATAGTAATAATAATAATAATAATTTAATGTTACGTTTATAAGTATTCTGTATTATATAATTCTGTAATCGATACATTGTTAAGAAAGTACTTAAATTATTAAACATTTATATATGTCAACCGTGAATAATACTTTACCGATAAACATCAAATTCTACTTACTTTTCCGTAGTAGATTTATTGGAAGTATTATCGCTAGAAGATGGTTGTATAGTTACCTCCAAAACGCTCTTTTGACCTGAGATTGACATTTAAGAACGTCGTTTCAATGCTTTTGTATCATAGAGATTTTTAATTGTTTCTACAATGTAAATTTTATTTACTGTGTTTATGTTGATACAACGCAGGAGCCCAACTGTAATTGTTAGGACTCGGTACGGTATCAGTTGTCGCGTTGCTCGTAGACGGCGATGCAATATCGTGACGCAGCCACGAAACGCACCCACCTGACGAAAGCGCAGCTGATTTGATAGTGGCAGTGGTACATCCATTACTTTTTCCTTCAGATGAAACATTTTTTCTGTAAATAATATTTAAACAACGTATCAATTTTTGCAAATTTTTTTACGAATAGTTGAAGGGGTTACGTCACCTTTACGGAAAAAATAATTAAAATTTCTCTTGTGCATTAGATGGTAGTTGGAATAAATTGTAGCAATGACAAAAATTCTTCTTGATGATTCCAGCATTTTCGATATTGCAAAAATGAAACTTTTATGTATAAATAATATTATGTTTTCTATGAATGGTAATAAAGCCAATGCTTGAATTATAAAGAAAAACAAATTTTATTTCAGTTATCTCTCAAATATCTTTAATACTTTATAATTTCTACAATTTTTGAATTTTAAAAATTCCGTAAGTCATACGATAGAGAATACATTCAAAAATAATACTGCTCAAGTTTGAAGTCTCGCTATTTTCTTAGCTCGCATCTAATGTATACGTAAAAAAAATTCATTCCGAAGATTATTATATACTACATTCACAATAAGCAATTGATTTTCTCCGGGCGTATGGTATATCGTTATAAAAAGAATTCGAGAAGAGATCGTCTATCTCATCACCTTCAAGGTGACATAACCCCTTTAAAGTAAAATTCGTACCTTAATTTGTTGAAACAACTGGCAGTGTCCTTCTGAGATATCGGATACAATTGAATGGTTTCTAGTAATTGTTCGAATTCGAACACCTTACTATTTTCATTGCTTATCACGCTAACATTGGCAGAAGATGACGGCGAAGACTGCCGTCGCGACAATAAGTGTTTGGACACAATTTTATTGCTGTCCAATACTACTGAAAATTTATACGTTCCGTGTCATTGTACAGACAAATGCGATAAATTACAATTACGATAAGTTTTCGGCGTTTCGGTTACCATTTGGCACTATCAAGTCCGACCTGGATGTCTCCACCTCGTGGTTAATTCTATTAACTACAGATATCTTTGGAAGATCTTTCTCGCAATCTATCGAGTTCGAACGTGTAGCGGGTTCAGACCTCGTCTGACTTCCGCAAGCTATTAATCCGGAAACATCTTGCTGACAGATGTTAGATAGTTGGCCCAGCTTGGGTCGACCGCCGCACAGAATCTGCGGCTGACAAAGGTGCGAGGGACACGTGGAACGTTTATCAGAAAATTGCTCGGTGCACGCAGTGTCGAGTTCGTGGTGTTTATGCGAGAATGAAGACGATCCGTGAGTTGGCAGTGTGGCGTTGCAATGCAACGGGCTAGAATTATGATGTTGTAGATTCGTTAAAGAGGTTCTTGAATCGCTGGTATCATCCACGTGTTGATTGAAACATAATGACGTCCACGCGGAGTTTCGATCTTGCATTTCAAATAAATGCAATAACATAATTTCATCCTCCAGGCTATCGTTGCCGCGCAATCTGTAATGGCAAAATAAGATCGTTTACGTTATCATTGTGTATATGTATTCTGTATTCAACAACGAAGTGAAATAGAAGAGTTTCGTCATTACGCAATTACCGAATATATCATGCGAGCTTTGGTATTTATCTATAAATGTAACTTAGTAATGTATTATAATTTTATATTTTTTTTCTGAAGGTACCTGCAAGCATCTCCTGTACTGTCTCGATTGTTTTGTTGCTTTGTACGTTGTTTGTTTTGAATCCATGGTGTTAACGATTCTGCAACCTCTACATCGTTTTCTCCTGAAAGTATAGTTATCATTGATAAATAAATGAACGAATATAAGAAGCTAAACATTTTTGTTATGTTGGAAAAAACGATATTACTGCGAATAACGCAAATTAGATCATGGTTAAATAATTGTTTCGGATTTAATGAAACGTGTCTTTCAATTAAAGTTTTTCTGGGACTCCGATTATTACAGTACATGTACGGAAATATTTATTTTTTGTTGTAAAACCGAACGTAAGAAGAAGACGGAGATTAATTCGAAAATAGACAAAAGATTGTTCTAGGAAACTGCTTGAAACTGATCAGGAGTATGGGAAGTAGGATTCTCTTTCATAAAATTTTCGTCTGGCTTCTCATTCGTGGGATTTTCATTTTCGACACCTTTATCTAACTTGCATTCCCGCTGTCTACGTCTCTGCATATTTATAGAACCTCTGTTCGAACTTGTACCTAATTTAATGGTATGGCGTTACTACGTAACATTGTACTTTCAAATGCAAAATTATATACTAAGTATTCCGAATATCGAATTTTAAATACGATAGAACAGTTGTCATAAAGACTAAAGCATCGTTCGCGTGGCTAATTTGAGTTTAATAATTTATCTATCATTGCATAGTATAAAATTCAATGGATTCGAACAATCTAGAAAATTCAATTCGTACCTGACATGGTTTCATCGTCCACGTCATTTTCGTCGTTAGAATTGTCATCTAGAAGCGTTAAGTGTGGCTCGTTATGATCACAGTCGTCCAAATATATATCGTGTTCGCTTAATTCCTGAAGCAGATAAAGGTATTAATATTCTAGATTCTAGATTGGACTGCGAAAAACACTGGTCGAATGATCTTACTCCGCTATCGCTACTGCTGCTACTTAACAAAAGAGGCAATGGTTGCTGATTGAGCACCGTTGGTGAAGAATACGATGGAGATGGAGAATGAGCTCCAGTAGTTTGACAATCTCCAGAAGAACCATCGTTCGTACCATGCAGATTGGGCGATTCAGGTTTCACTCTATGTTGCTTTAAACTCGTTTTCGACGAGATGGAGGATAACGTCGACGAGGATCCAAGTGGACGGATATCTGAAAGCTCTACCAATTCGCACATAGGCATTAATTGGTCTCCTGACATTCCGCTATTGTTATTTCCACCAGGAAGGACATTTTGTACTGATCTGCTGTAACAATAGGTGTTAAAGTATATTGTTTTTATACAAAGTATGTTGTTTTATACGAAAAAAAGTACGATTCACCTTGTCGATGTGACGTTTGGATACGTTTCTATCGAACGAGTAGAATTGGAACTATGTAATGGATCTCCAGCAGCTTGCGACTGTTGCTGCATTACCAAAGGCGTTACATTCGACGTTGGTCCGCATAACGTAGCTCCACTAGGTACTCTGGTTGCTGCCATAGCACTTCGAGACATTTCTATCGCCAAACGCTGCGAATAAATATTTCAGTTACGCACAAATGCGTGGCTATAAATGTTTGAATACAGACGTTACCTCTTTCAGTTCATTAATTTGCGTGGCATATTGATTTTGGACAGTAACTAGTTGACTAATGTACCATTGTTGATCTCTGCAACGCTGATAAAACGTCGGTGGCCGTACCTGAAACCTGTCACCCATTTTTATATTATAACGCTCTATATGTAAGATAAAAAGAATTCTTAATATTTTACCGCAATATGAGAGTGTCCAATTCTGTATTCAAATATCCTTCGGTTGCAAGTAAATCTAATCTGAAGAATCTATTGTAACCCCAACATTCGCCGATTTCGAAGTCAGATGCGAATTCTCTAACGATGTTCTTACTTGTATCACGAGATCCTTGGTGTATCATTTCAACTCGATATTCGTATCTGATAAATAGAATTGTGATAGCAAAAAAGCGTTAATTAGAGAATCAAAAAGACGGATTACTTAATAAGAAGTAAAAATATTTTTCGTACTTAGATGTCTCCGGTAGACCAGCGCTTAACTCTAGAAAAACGGACAAATAATTTCCACGTACAACGCCATTTCCATCGGGGTATACTTTTAATCTCCAGCATAATCCGTTAACGTGTAAAGGCGCGGAATAAACTGGATCTGCTTTCAATTGTAGTTGAGTAAAATTTTGCATTGCAAATGTTGCGCTATCGTAACCAGGTACAATTTCGCTACAATAATGAATAGATGATTGTTTGTCTGTAAATATATGACGTTATGCTGTAAATTAAAATACATAGGATCAATGGTTCACCTATGAAAGTCCGCAGGAACAGGCGCAGTCACGAAACTCGTCATTGGTTTCTTTCTCACTTGATGTATCATTCGCGAGAGGTCTGCACTTTTGATAATAAGCTCAGAACGAGTACAAGTATGCAACTGCTGTTCCACTTCTTGCAGTAAAGCTTCCAATTGTTCCGTTTCTAATGTTAAAGAATTCTTTTGACCCATTAACGTTAACAGTTTAGCTTTCAATTGAGAATCCAAACGCGCTATCATCAATTCAACCGCATTTCTGATCTCTCTAACTCTCTCATCCTTTGCGGCTCTTACAGATTCGACATTACGTTCCTAAAAGATCAGATACAAGATAAGAGACGATTAGAGAATCTCTAAATCCTATATATAAAATTTGTACTTACCACTTCTTGAACAAGACTTATCAATTCCATTAACCTTCGTTTCAACTGTCCTACTTCTGCTTTTATTTGTGTGACATGCTGTTCATAGACCTCTTCTAATGGTTTGAAAGTATGCCCTGAATGAGTGCCACCCCATAAAGCACACTGATGACATATACATCTACGGCAGGTCCAACAATAGACGGATAGCTTCTCGTGATGCATAGTACACCTGCAAAAGAATACATAGACAATGACACAAATTATTGCAAACTCCAAGTTACAAAGGAAATACCTGTCTCTATTGGAGTCATCATGCCTAGAGTTTGATATGCTCACAGCTTGAAGTGTATCAAGTTGTTGTGTCACTTCCTCTACCCATCTACAATTTACCAATTCGTGTAAATGTAAAGAAGCTCGGCAGTGTGGACATTGAGACCGCTGCTCTGTAAGCCATCGCCTAATGCAGGTGTAGCAACACAATTTACTGCAGTGAGGACAAAGATGGGCATCTCTAAGCTTTTCCATACAAATGAAACATCGAAAAACTTCTGCCAGTGTCTAAAATATAATTAAGAACTTGTAACAATATGAGGTACATCTTTGAGTCTTACAGATGTATAGAAAAAGAAAGATGAATATTAGAAATAATTGTAATTCGTATTTTTAATCCAAAACAAATTTCAAAGTGAATGATCTATAATTCTATAGGAATGTGTAATAAATTTTCTGTATTTCAACTGTCTAAATGGTTCTGCTTAAAAATGCTATATTTGACTAAGAAGTAAATAGCATTCTAACAAGTTATAACATTTCTTCGTAGTTATTACTATATCATAAAACAAATAAAATGGGGCACCAAGAAATATGTATCTGCATTCCACATCATCAAATACAGTTTTGACATATAAATATCATATTGGATATTTACAAACCTCGACACTGTGATCATCCGAGTTTTTCGAATTAATAGATGTTTCCCTATTAGCCATCCTGTCTGACATTTATTAATAAAAAATTTAATTGGATATTATCGATCGTTAGATGTATCAGCAGCACTCAAAGCTACGCGGATCTCCGACATTTCATCTCGTGGCGTTCAACTATGTAACCAATTTATCGAAAATGTTATTTCCAAAACGTGTTCATTATTAACAATTGTTATTTATAAACTAGTCAGACATACACGAAATGCTTTTCAGGTACTCTAAAAAATTTGTAGCGGAGTATACAATATTGTCATGGCTCTTGACTCACGACAATGATTCGTATACGATGGTTGGTATACGTCATGAGTGATGATTTGCCATGAAGTAAAAATATTCTATGGTAAGCAGTGTAGGAAAGATTTAATCCCGTTAGACCATTTCTTTCAAATATATATTTCTGTATTACTTCCGTAGCATAGGAATATAGGAACCGGGCATAGCTGAACCCAGAGTGAAGCCATGTTCACCATATTACGTTGCCATTGCGAATTCATGAGACTCCTAGACATCTGTATAGAATCTATAGTCTATGGCTAAATGCGCATCCCCTATTCGCTGGTTTCCGACAAGAACCTCATTCATTTATTCTTAAAAGCAGTTTCCGGAGTAGTCTAGAGTAAGCTAAAGTTATTGTATAATATATTATACAATATATTTATTATAGAATATATATATTGTGTAATATACTCTGAAAATTTCATTCTCATATTCCAACAATTGAGATAACTGCTATCCTTTTTATTTAAGGTTGCCGCATAGCAGGGGCACCTCTGCGCCTACGAAATGGCAACCGAACCGACAAATCGGCTAGTATAGGTTGCCGCATAACAGGGGCACATCTGCGCCTACGAAATGGCAACCGAGCCGTCGAACCGGTTAGTATACGTCGCCGCATAGGAGGGGCACAATTCTTGGTGTCACTCAATTTGTTTCACCAGTTACTGACATGAACTTTTCATTCACTTTTGGGCAATTCCTGACACCTCCTCACACATCGTAACAACTTCTGACGCATCCTGACAACATGTACACATGATAAGATATAAATTTTAAGTTTTCAAAGTTATGAGACGACCAAAACTATTATAATATTTTATCAAATCACCCTAATTCTTCTGTATCACTACATCACATGTTATAATAAATATACATTGAAGGAGAAACATATCTTATTTATTGCAATTCACTCCCAAAACATACCTATCCATATTTCCTTCGTGCCACCTCTTCGCGTATCATGTGATCCTGATACCAGGAGTAAAAATCCGACATTTCCCATCACAATTTTGAGAGGAGCGATTTGCAACATTGTGGAAGTTTCGAGAGAAGCAATTTGCAACATTGTGGAAGTTTCGAGAGAAGCAATTTGCAACATTGTTGACTTGGCCAAAATGCAAAATTGGCCAGATTTCCGAAATGTACCGAAAATATGGCCCCTTGAATTAGGCAACCTGTACTGACAGATATGTCGGGCCGGTTGCCTGTCCGTAAGCGCCAACGTGCCACCTCCTCGCATATCATGTTCTCCTGATACCGGGAGTAAAATTTTGACAAAAATCCGATACGTACCATGAATTTCTCGTGTACCAGAAAATAGAGGGAAATTAAATAGAAATATGTCAGGAAATGAAGGGAAATTTGAGGGAAATGTCGCAGATATGAATGGAAGTTAATGGGAAATGTATCAGGAAATGAAAGGACAATAAAGGGAAATGTGCCAGGAAATGATGCGAAATTAAATGGAAATGTCGCAGAAATGAAGGATAATTAAAGGGAAGTGTGGCAGGAAATGAAGGAAAGTTAATGGGAAATGTGCCAGAAAATGAAGATTACAGAAATTAATAACCTATAACAAAAATTAGATATTCCAAATGTTGAATTTCTAAAAATATAGTTTCAAATATATAACCATATTTTTAATTATAATCCTATTTAAATTTCCTGCTGTAAATTGGCAACGTAAGATGGCCGATGTGCCTTCCCTCTTAGCTTCATACTGCACCACGTTCCTTGCCAGTCTATACCCGTTCCCTGTATTCCTATGTCCGTGGCCAAAGTACATAAAATATTTAGTATGATCGGATAAATATTTGGACATCGTCATAATTAGTGACAGTTGTTTTGATTGAACGGTGTAGATGTTTCATGAAATATTATTTATATTAAGTATAGGAAAAAAATACTGGAGTATTTAAATAACATTATCTCGTTTTGCTGATATATTGTTTATACATAAATAGATGTATGTGTATGGATTACATCTTTAGAACACGAATGTTTCAATTTTATAGGGACATCAATAAAACACAATGACATTCTTATTATCTGATGAAAGTGTTTAAAAAATATCTGTTTAGAAGATTTACCTTTTCAGCAATAATAATTGAATGATAATTGATCTTAAATGTAAATTAAAGCGTTAATGTGAATAGCGTTAGAGGTTATATGGTTTCTATCTTTCTAGGACTTATAATATTAATTAAATATATATTATCTAAAAGTGGCTACTTCTTAACATAGTCTCGCATTTTTATTAAAATTTCAGTTAGTTTAGTATACGTTGAATTAATGAATTTTATAATTGATTTTAGATTTACAATTTTGGCTGTATACATTAAATTACATTTAAAACAAAAACTTACGTAATGGCTGCATCACCACTGGTAAAAGTAGAATTACAAACCGACGTATACATGGTGTGTTTACAGCATGCCTTGTCGACAGAAAGTTTCGAAGTAATGGGCCTATTGATTGGGGATGTATGTACATAAGTTTACTTTGTTACTCTAGAATTTTACATATCTCTTGTCTACACAAACACATATCTATTGCTTTAGTATTAATTTATGTTAGATAGTAAATGGTGTTGCAAAACTCGTAGCTGTTACTATTTTACGACGTTTGGATAAAAAGAAAGATAGAGTTGAAATTTCGCCAGAACAATTAATGAAAGCTGTCAGCGAAGCAGATAAATTGACAGCTCAACTAAACCGTCCTGTGCATGTTCTTGGGTGGTATCATTCGCATCCACACATAACGGTTTGTCCCTCACATCTCGGTAAGTATTACTTCTATAGTTACAAAAACAAATTGTAAATTTATAATAAAAGCATCTTTTTAGATATTGGGACTCAAGCCACCTATCAGACTATGGATTGTAACTTTGTAGGACTAATATTTTCAGTATTTTCAGAAAGCAAAGAGTCTAAGGTAAATGTTGAATGAAAGTTATTGAACTGGTATGGTACATTTAATTTATTTTGCTTATTTTAATAATATGTTATAGGAGCAAGAAATCTTTTTAACTTGCTTCCAATCACATAATGGAGAGTCAAAAGAGATTCCATTAGAAATTGTACAAACGTCTCCGATATCGGATAATTGTTTAAAGGTACATTTTTAAATAATACATTTATAACTAACTCTACATGTAATTTTCAATCCTACATATTTAATTCCTATACATGGTTTAGACAATGACGGATTTACCAAAAATTTTGGTTCAAGAAGAAGAAGAAATGGCGGAAACATGTAAAGATCATCATGATATTCTCACCAGTATATATAATAATGCTGGTTAGTTTAATTATTTTAGTATTTGGCGGTTTCCATTGTGACAAAGAGAGAATGATCACGATTATTATTTACAGTAAGAACACGTACATTGGCTCACATAACCGACATAATCACGAAGCCTTTGGTACTGACATTTGAGAGAAGGATAGCTTTAAACAAATTACGCGCTGCTTACCTTCGAAAGCAATTGCAGGAATTACAAAACATGTGCAATGGATAAAAATGTCTCGTTTCAAAAATAAAAATAAGTATTGCGCCCTTTTTCCTCGTGTATTATAAACATAAGTATATTAAGTTGCATACAATTTATTATTGTGTAAGGTGAAAACAAGTTCCACGTACAGAATGTAAAGTTACTTAGAATAACAAAATATAACGAGTTTCTTTACTGTTCAATTTTTCACGAGATTTTTTTTTTGTTAACCAAATAAAAACAAACAAACGAACCTTTCAGTGATTATTTTTATTTTTACCTTTCACGAACAAAGTTCTGGCAATAATTGCACAGTTCTATATTTACACTACGAGAACAACAGTGTATTTAAATAGACTTAAATGTATTCAAAACACGGATTCTGCAGAACGAGAAAGATGTATAGGATGAGAAGGACTACGTGCTAACCTTTTGCGAGGCAGCTTTTCCAGAGTAGTTAACAATTTTGCAAAATCGGGTCGATTTTCTGCATGGTATGACCAGCAAAGCATTAGGATATCCTATAAAAATGTGAAGAAAAAGTCAAAATTATAAGATTATAGAAATTGAAATTTGAATAAGATCGAAGACGTCAAAGAATTATAATCAATATAATATACCTTCACATCACGAGAGGCTTGTAAATTAGCTAACGTTTGCTTCATTCCTTTTCCAACTTGCCAAATGATTGCTTCGGGAGGCTGTCCTTTAAATGGCCATTCTCCGCATAAAAGCTCATACCACACGGTCCTATGATAGGACACGTATTTTTAGATACATTAAACAAAAATACTTGGAATACTTGTTATATTACACTCAATGTTTATGTTACTTTGAAACGTTGTATGTTGAAAACCAAATGCTAAAAAGTTTTGTAATGAATAGAAAAGATACAATATAATAGTACATATACATAGCAAGATTATTCCTGAGTTGATACCTACCGAAAAGGTTTACTCAAAACGAAAGAATTTCGAAGAAAAATAAATCTTTTGGATACAATGTATTATACAATTATACTTACAAAGTAAAGTTATATTTTGTGTCAATTGTGTACTAACCCAAATGCATACACGTCGGAAGCCTCTGTAAAAGGTAACTCTTCCTGATCCCGATTTTGTTGCGGTCTCAGTCGTCGAACAATTTCAGGAGCTAAATAACATAACCAGCCAGGCGGTATGCTCAATGCATTTCCTTGTCTGTACAAGAAATAAAGGATGCAACATTTAGACTTACGATTTGCACTAAATATGCTCGTTTAAATAGAAAGTTTTACCTGTTTCCATAACAAAGCTTTGTAACACTGAATAAACCGAAATCGGTTATGACAACTTTTCCATTTTCTAAAAATATGTTTTTGCTCTTGAGATCTTTGTGAATTATTCCACGAGCATGAAGATATCCCATTCCCTAAGTAATAAGAGGCATGTTTCATATCTCGTTTCTTTCAAAAAATTGTTAAAAAATTATACAATGCTCTTTACGTGTATATACCTGAGAAATCTGTTGAGCGATGATAGTAGTTTTATTCATATTAAATTTATCTTTACGTAGATGAATGTGAGTGTAAAGAGTCATGCCTTTGCTCATACTAGTCACTATTGCCAAGCGAGGAGGCTTCATGCAAGCTCCCATAAATAAAACTAGATTTTCATGTCTAGTTTTTCGGAATGTAGCCACCTATAAATTTTAACGTAAATATATTTAAATCGTGAACGTTACGGTATTAAGAAATGCATTTATTGTACCTCTAACTTGAATGCTTCCAACGTTTTATCATCATCTAAATAATAGTCCATGTTCAAGACTTTAATCGCAACATTACCGTGCCAATAACCTCTGTACACTGTACCAAATCTTCCAGTACCTATAGGTTCTCCAATTTTCAATTCATCATAAGGAATGTCCCATTCTCGCATTGATAACTATAACGATAATCTTATTTAGATGCGATGACGAATCACTCAATGCAAACGTCACATTAAAGTTACGTACACTGTTTTGTCGTGGCCAACGACTGTCTCCTGGTTCTCCATCGGAGACTTGAGAATCTTGCGAATCAACCCTAACGGGTGTTCGTTCGGAATCTGTGCTAACGCTACCAGATCCAGAAACACTCACTGTTCTTTCGCTATCGCTCGACATATTTGTACCTTCGAGTCGATGTGTCTCTAATGTAACACCTTTTTCATTGAGTACAACATCTGGAAGTGAATTGTGATCAATTTTTTCTATGTCACAATGAAATGCAACGTATAATAATTTTGGTACCTGGAAAGTGGAACTGTTGTTTGGCAGGTGCCTGTGGAGTTTGGCTAGTATTGGCAGGTAGCAAAGCTGGACTAGAAGGCGTTGAGCTGTTACAGCTCGAGGTATTTGAACTAGAATCCGCGCCCTGGTAAATTATACATTTGTAAAGTACCGAGTGTTAAATGGATTTCATCTTGACATTAACTTCAAGGTATGTGTTTCTGACACAAACAAGGAATAAATTGATCGAAGAGAAAATATAAAGAAACGTGAACTCATATTCAACACACCTGAAAAGGTATGTTCACAGAAGAGTGTGGATGGGATCGTTTTCGATCCCTTCGATTTAAAGAGCTCAATAAATTTGAGTTGTGGTGATTGGGAGATGTTATACCAGGTTTGCTTAATATCGGAGAAACATTTACCATACCTAAAAATTTGTATTTTAGTCAAAAGTTGTTGGAAGAAATCAATGAATTTTTAACACTTATACGTACCATCACCTTGCCAAGATCTTTTAAACTCATCAATGAGTTCCTGAGGTAGGCCACAAGAAGGTGGTACTTTGGATTCACATTCCCGGTGACATTTATATTTACATTCTTTGCATTTTAAGCCAGTGTCCATAAACATTTGCTTTTCGCAATAGTCGCATGTTGTCATCATTTTAAAAGTTTTGGTAAAGCGGTGAGCAATTATATGGCCCATTCCTCGGGTTACAGTCGGAGTACGAGGTGACTTTGGCACTTGAAGACTTGTTACTGTGAGAAATGAGAATAAAACATTTTTATTATCATACATGAATCCTTTAGAATAGAGATCGTTTACTGAAATGTACTCACCTGTTCCTTTAAAACTGTTATCATCGCTCTCTGCACTAGAATACGGTGGTGACTTAACAGGACTACTACTATTCAGTAACAGACTTTCCCCTGTAATATCTGCATTACTGCTGCAAGATCCTGATTCTGTAGGCAGACGATTTCTTCTACCCACAGGGCCAACAGAATCATTACCACAACTATAGAAACAATAAAAAAAATATTTAATGCTTATCCATAGCTTTGATAAAAATAAAAACTATCGAGAGTTAAAGTTTTACCTTGAAGCTGCATCTCCATTTTCAAGACGGTTCGCTAATTGTGATTCATGAGATTTTGACTTAGTTAATGGAAACACTTCTGGTTGCGATATTGTATTTTGTAAACCTATTTGATGTTTTTTACAAGGAGGCGGAGTTGTTGGAAACTTGATTCCTATTATTAAACAAGAACATTTTATATTAATTATATAATTATATATAGTTTATAACGTGAAAGAATAAAAGGGAAGATTCGTTACTTACCGCGTCCTGTTCTTTGTAAAAGAGGGGTAGAAGGAGGACTAGCTGATGATAAAGACGTAACGGAAGAAGCTTGGGCTAATATATCACTGTTAAGATTATTGTTGTTGTTATGATATGGAATGCTGTCTTCTGAAGGAACAGAACATCTGGTTGTACGACATCGAGCTGGCCTAGGAGACGCTCCGGTACGTAAATGGTGTCTATCCCAAGAATCCCAATACAAGTTCATATCGCTATTATCCATATCGCCTCGTAAAAGAACATCTGAATAAGACGTAATGTCGAATGAAAATATATACAAAAAATATATTGTTCGATGTTTCAATATAGTTTAAGTCTTACCCATATACCGACGAAGATTGTGCAATGCCCTACAAAGTCTACGAAGTTCTTCCTCGTGTCTAACATTATTTTCTCCCAACATACTACCTAACTCATGCTCAGACTTCTCCTTGAGAGCTTCGAGCGAGTTAGCCTTGGAGCAAACCATCTGAAAATTATTATGAAAGCAAATATCTGCCAAATTCTATACATGTACTAAAATTTATTAAATAAAGATAATGAAAATTATTGGAAGAATGATTCATACCTGAATGGAATCCTGTGTAAGTCCCACTACTCGTAACCATTGCTGCAGTGATGGATATTGTCTCATCTCTGCAGGCAATGATTCTACAGCCAGTTTGGCTTTGGTTACTAGTTGCTTTGAATATAATTTGATAAGCTTTCCCTGAAATACATATTACTTATGTTTACAACAAGAAAAAATAACATGCTTTTGGCACAGCATTTGATATATGTATGTTCACAAATATGTATAATTATAATAAGCTGTTTTAATTTTATCATTAACAATGTACAATAAGGACTCAACTTTTTATATTATTTCATCTGTACTTTAAGATTTTCTCAGGACTCATTTTTTCCACTAATTTTACCATGATGTTCATAAGATCTTATTGGTGAGATAATATAGCAAGATTATAAGATAGGCAACAAAGTAGCAATCATAAAGGTACAAGGAGAAACCATTCGGTATATATAAAATTACAACTGTTAAGGCAGTTAAAATTGGAATTAGGCGAATGTCAAATTGATATCAGAGTTTCTTTACATTCGACAACGACTGGTATAAGTATCAATGTATCAGTTATCAATATTTAAAACGTATTCTGAACGTTAATCAGCCTTACCGTATACAGGGTGGAAGAACAATAACGGCAACGATAATAAATGGTCGTAAACGCAGAACAGAGGCGTAAAAATACTCGCGCGCATGCAAGTGCGAAACGCGAATCTATAAAGAAACGCATTTGCAACTTGTTGACAACCACACGAAACAACCCTTCACGAGGTCAAGGCGATCGTGGCCGAAGGTAACGAGGCAAGAAGAACAACGGAAAGGAATCGAAGGACAATTTCTCGTATTACCTCGAGCGTACGAATTTCCTGTTGAGTGAGTTCAGCACTGGTGGAACATTGGGTCCTCAAGCCCTCGAGCCGATCCGCGGAGATGTCAATCATGGATTGAACGACATCCAAGGCTCGACGGATCTCTTGTTCCGCATCCTCGCTGTCCGCCATCCCGCGCCACAATGACGGTCCCTTGTTTTGTTGCACGCGAGTCCTTCTCCTACTTCACGGGCATAATTCTCGTCGCACGGGACCTGTGTCGGTCGCGGATTTATCGCTGGCTCTCCGCGTAACCAAACCACTTATCAACATTGACAACCATCTTGGCCGCCTATCGGTGACGTCAATCGGTGCCCAACAATCCGGGGTCTCAGAGCGTTCATTCGAACGACTCTATCGCGTTCGTAAAAACGCTATATCGCGTCATCGTGGCTTCCATTTAATCGCAGGTCATGTTCACACGACCCTATAATGGGTGTGTTCCATTGAAAGTCTGATCTCGATCCGTGATCTATGTTACTAGAAACTATTTATTATGGAATTATTCAGAGATGGGCAAAACCCTAGACTTCGAATAAACCTGAAGTTTGCCGATGTGTTTGTCTCGTTTCTTTCTTTGGAAAATGTTGAAAAGAGGAAACGAGACAAACATGTCGGTAAACTTCAGGTTTATTCGAAGCCTAGGGTTTTGCCCATCACTGGAATTATTTGGATACAAAATTTATATATTAATCCGTAACTGTTACCTTGGTATTTATTCGAAATGATTAAGACGAACGAAAGCAGAGAATACAAGAGAGAATTACTTACATATTTATTCCAGCGAAATGCACTGGCACGCGATTGGTACCCGAAGCTGGTGATTTTTTCCTCCCATGAATCCACGAACTATCTAAGAATTAGTTTGAAAAAGGAACCAAAGGTGATTATGTTACCAGAGTTGATATTCTTCGTTGGGTGGATCGTAGTTTTGAGAACGTTTATTACAACCTACATAACCATTTGCAACATTTTATGCACTCTGTATGTGGTTAGGGGTTTCTTATCTAGCTGTTTCAGCCGGTCGATGAGTAATGATCATTTACTCGCTACATATCCTGGCTCGGTGTCATATATTCGTTTGACAAAAATTCTGTGTCGTGTGTTTGAATTGTGGAATTTCGTTTAATTACTGGTGTTGCATGTCAGCGTTAAGAAGGACTTCATAGAAATGGTGAATATAGATACGATACAAAAGAATTATCCGCTGCACTGGCTCGTATGGAATAACAACTATGTAGAACTCGAGGACGAGTTATCTTCGAAGCTGGTACGTACGAAAAAATTACATCCGATTATTGAAACGCGTTCGAAGAAATCGTATCTGTCATAGAGCAGATGTCCTATTAAAAGCGCGAATTACATTCGTTATCTCCGAATCATTTTACTAACCAAACGCGATGAATGACATTTTCCTTACATCTTGTTTCTCTCTCCTTTTATTGGATAATAATAGCGGCACTGAGAAAATTTAATTTGCACGTATAATAATGAAAAATAATAAGAAAGTACGTTTATCAAACCTTACATCACGACAAACACGATTAACGTATGTAAATATACGTGATATTGAATGACAACAATTTAGTATTGCTATGAATTTCTAAGGAAATCTTAGGATTATTGAATTAATTTTAATCAATCGAAATGAACTACATTCTATATGTTATTTTGAATACATTATTCGGTATGCTGTCAGAGAGCTTCAAGAGTGAAGCCTCATATATGTCAGAAACCATAAATGTTCACTGACTTGTAACTTTCGATATTATACTTTGAATATATCATTGATCGATCCTATATAGCTTGTAAAATAATTCCATAAAAAATGATGAACCTTGTAAAATGTATTTTAAATATTTTTTAATGTATTGTATTGTAAATAAAAATGATGTTTAATAAAGAATCATTCTGTAGAATGATATTGAAAAACGTGATAACAGAGGACGAACGCCGTTGATGTTAGCAGTAACTTTGGGTAATATCAATTGTGTTGGAGTATTATTGCAACACGAAGCTAATGTCAATACAGAGAATACTCAAGGATGGAGTGGTAAGTACAATTATTTGTTATACTATACTTATATTAGCATACCATATAAATTTTCATTTTTCTGCATTTTTCTAGTGGTTCAAGAAGCAGTTGGCACAGGAAATCCTGAGCTATTACAGATGGTGCTAGCACGTAGGGATTATCAAAGATATTGCAATCGGGTAGCTGGTATTCCAGAATTACTTCATAAACTTAAACAAGTGGGTTCGTTAGAACAAAGCAGAAAGCGTAGTGATATTTTGACGAATATAAACCAAAACGAAATAATATTTTCAGGCTCCTGATTTTTACATAGAAATGAAATGGGAATTTACTAGTTGGGGTAATTAGAAAAATTCACAGTTTTTATTGTTCTCTTTAAGTACAAGCTTTAAACTAACGTTTTGCTTATTGTTAGTTCCTCTTGCCTCTAGAATGTGTCCTAGCGATACTTATAAAGTATACAAACAAGGCAGTAACGTGCGAATCGATACCACATTATTGGGATTCGATCATACCAATTGGCAACGCGGAAATCGCAGTTACGTTTTCAAAGGACAAAGTAAGCATTTGCGCATTATTATTATGCATGGGTATCGATATACGCAAAGTTTATTTTAATCTTCAGGTTTTTTGAGTATTTTTCCTTTTACATTAATAGTAGAATCTTTTATTTATTCTTTAATTGTGTATATTAAATGCAAGCTGCATCAAATGTACCTGTGGCAATTAGATGCGAAAGGAGTTATGTATTCAGTATGGTGGGACAAGAGTCAGGTGACAGAATTACTTTTACAATTAATGTGGTGTACAAGACTTTAGAGTATATACAGTTCCACAAAGTAATGAAAACTTGTCAAATAGATTTGTTATGTAGATATTTACTTTCGTTTTAATTTGTTATTATCTTTATTTGATTTTCATTGTTTTCGAAAAGTTTATGTAATATATTGAAGCTTGCAATGGTAAATGTGTATGTCACGCAATTATATAATTAACTGCTTCTAATATATATTCATTAATATTATTGTACGAGTAAGTAATTCAATATTCATGTATCTTTAAATATAAAATGTTTGAAAAGATATTAGATTTTATATAACTACTAGCGGTAAAGTATAACGCTAATTAGTTTGAATCTTAGTTTGCAGAATAATATATAAGTTCTATTTCAGTAATAGTTTCACGAAAAAATATTTTAATATAAAAACAGAACTTTTATTTATGCAGATGATGGAGCAACGATGATGGAAGTAGATCACGAAACACGAAAAGTATACGTTGAACATATGAAACTTATAGACGTCGATAATATACAATTAATGGATCCCTCTGAGGAAGGTGTACTAGCTCGACTAACAAATCCTATAGTTACTACATATATAGATACGGATAAAATTAGTTTTGAACGGTAATTATACTCTCTATTTTACTGCTAGATTCATGTTTGGTATGAATTTTTTATAACGTTTTCTTATGTTTCATTAGCAATAAAGCTGGCTTGTGGGGATGGCGTTCTGATAAAAGCGAAATAGTAAATGGACACGAGTGTAAAGTTTTTAGTGCAAGTAATGTAGAATTAATAACGAAAACTCGATTAGAACATTTATCTGAACCTGATAAAATAAGGGCTCGCGCTCCACGTACGCCTTTACAATCATTTCTCGGCATAGCGGAGCAACAGCAAGAGAACTGCATTAGTGCAACTACTAGTGTAACTTTCTTGTTAAAAATATTTTTAATATCAACAGTACGTTACTTTCGGAATTATATGTATTAAATTACTTGCTTCAGGAAGAATATAACAATGTTGGAAATCCGTCTAACATTACAGCTGAAGAGTATTTTGATCCAGACGTTGATTTAAACGGAAGAGACATAGGTAGACCAAAGGAAGTAAATACGAAAATTCAGAAATTTAAGGTAATTTATATTGAAATTATATTTTTCATAAGAATGTAATTTTAACGGAGTCTATTACTTATTCATTAAATAAACGTATAGGCGACTTTGTGGCTCAGCGAAGAATATCCATTAAGTTTTCAAGAACAAATTATGCCAATCGTCGATCTCATGGCAATATCTAGTTCTCATTTTGCAAAATTAAAAGATTTTATTCAAATGCAATTACCAGCTGGATTTCCCGTAAAAATTGGTAAATTTTGAAGCCTTTTAAAAACATATTAGGTATACTGATGTTTGATCAATATATAGTTATATTGTGTTTTATAGAAATACCTCTTTTTCATATATTAAATGCGAGAATAACGTTTGGAAATATTTTCGGCATGGATCAAGAAGTACCACATGTAGGCCATTTACTCGAAACTAACAGAATGACGTGTTTAGTCGATGATACTTGTTTTGATGCACCTATGGGATACGTCAAATTAGGTATGATTTCATTATACCTCGTAACTATTAGCTAAATTAGCGATGTATAAAATTTGAGACTCGAGACTCGGAAGCCTACGTTAACAGGGCTACTTGTTTTACAGGTGCTGAGGTTAGAACGCAATTCAGTATTGAGGAAGAAGATGATCTATTACAGTTCGCTATTCAGCAGAGTTTACTAGAAGCCGGAAGTGAACGTGACGAGGTGTGTATCAAGTTTCCAATGTTCGTATTTTACAAAGCAGATATTAATTTAAATAAATTCCAACACTTAATCTAATTCGAACTATTAAGGTTGACATATGGGAAGCGTTAAGGTCTCAGAAACCATCACGGCCAACGACACCTAACATGACCACGGAAGAGGAAAGGCAACTTCAAAGGTATGGAAACATCATACTTATAGAAATGCCGTTCCGGTTATCTTGCTTTGATTTGAAAAGTTCTAAACAGTTTATTTTGCATGTGTTCTTGCTCAACAATTCATGTTCAGGAAGGTGGGTGAAGGATACCTGTTACAAACGTTGGTCTTACGATACTCATTTAAAGAGAACTCCAAAATATATTTTGTTAGGCATTGAAGAAAAATAGCTTTTTCATTTGTTTAGAAATCCCATTTTTTCGTACACTCTGGCAGTCCAGACCTTTTGTACGCATTGACGTACATAGACTAACAGTGCTAGACGGTACTTTTAATGTACGATACCTTAACGAATAACAATAAATTTTAACTATTCTGTTTAATACAGAGCTATTCAAGCAAGTCTGGCGTTGTACCAGGAGAGTACTGTTGCATGTCCGAGTGGCCGGAGTAGTACGAACAAGACGAGCGACATAGAGGATCCCGAAGCTCTCGAAGACACGACAGAACAATTAAGACTAGCATTAAGATTGTCTGAGCAACAGCAATTAGAAGAAGAACAGCGTCGATTACTCGAAGAGGAAACGTTCCGGCAAGTATTGGAGCTGTCTCTGACAGACAAGTGAAGTTTAAAAATGTGCAATAGTAATGAAAGGAACTCGATCCAGCTATACTTCCACGATCACGAGAAATCTTCCGGCCGCGCGATATCGAGACTGTCAAACGAGAAATCATTTCCTACGATTCGTAAAGTAAAACTGTTGCTACAACAGACATTTGTTATTATGGTATAAATAGTTACAGCGTACAGGTCGAATGGTGAAAATCACGTAGCATTAACTATGAAAGTACATGATTTTAATTTATGTTATTTATTTCTTAGCTACATTTTATATGAAGGAAATATGTAATAGTATGAAAATGATGGTACGTAATGCTCAGAAGTCTTGAAAATTACAGTTATATTTCTGGCAAAAAAGTCAGGACATTTTTCTTTGACTCTCAAATCATGTTCGAGGTCAAACAAAATACCAATCAAATACGAATAAACTTCTTCTTGTTGAAAGTACGTACTGTAAGTTACGACTGTCAATATTCAAAATAAAAAGCTTGTAATTCTCAAGCCTCCGATAAGTTATTCGTTTGTCCTCTCTCCTAGAATTAGATTTACTTCTCCGAAATTTCTAGCATCAACATCTAGTTGCACTCAATGGATTAATATTTGAATTAACGTTCTGTGTAACGATATGCTAAAAACTGCCTCCCTTAGTATTTGGGCAATTAAAACTATTCCAAGTTCCTTTTTATACCCGTGATAAAGTAATTGTAAGTAGTGTTTCGATTTATTAAGAGTAGTAATGTAATGAAAGTTTGTTATTTATTCTTTATAGTTTATACATTCTAGATTATTATTCAAACAAATCATGTGTACGAAATAAGAAATCATTAATTAACCTGTTGTTAGCATACAGCAATTTATAATATCGAGAATCAAATATAATTTTACTACATATCACTGTTTCGTAAAAATTTCTATTGAAAAAGATAAATTATTGCTTGTCGAGCGACTTCTTTATTACATAAACTAGTCGTTCGTAGCATAATTGCGATACATTAATTATACCGTAATAAAAAGATATATTTCTACAATTAGTATGCAACAGGTATAATTAAGCGTATAAAATAATATGTACGTAGAAAAATCTGACAAAAATGTTCTATGCTTACCAAGCTCAGATTTTGTTAACGGTAGTCGACAGTATCAGTACTGCCATTGATGGGCTACTCGAATTCTGATTGTGCCCTAAAACAGAAATAATAATGTTTTTATAATAAAATGCGTCCTGCAATATAAAATTTACTCCGAGAAATATTTTTACAGGATTCCAATTGAAAATTAGATATACTTCTGTCGATATCTTTGGTACAAACCTTTTAAATATAGTATTTAATATATTTGCACTCTGTACAAAACGTTGTTCATTCTTATGCGCTTGCTGATGCCACTTTTTACGTACAGAATTCCAATGTTTTCTATGTTCTCTCAACAGTGTTTCTCGTGACTTCAAAGATTGTCCGTCCTAGAATATATTATGCATATTTATTGATTACGATATAGTTAATGATTGAACTCTTGCGGATAACATATGTGAATTTATCCAAATGACATCTTACATAATCTAAATTTAATTCTTCCTTTTCTCTAGATATTGGCGAAGGTATACGATTTTTAGGTATAGCTTCTTCGCAAGGCAATGGAGGCGGCAAATAATAAACATCGCGAACTTCTCCATTTGTATCCAATATATTATTACTTATATTAATTTCGTTTATTATTTCTGGACTTGGACTGCGTACTCTGAAAAGTAAATAGAAGTATAGATTGTGTTGTTTTTTTATATACAACTATTTTTTAATTTTAATATATATAATTAGAAATCAAATGGTTTCCTGCACAGTATTTTACGAGTAATATACTTTAAAGTTATGTTAATATTAGCATAAATGGATGTGAAAATGTAATAACATTAATAAGACAGTTAAGATTATGTATGAGCAAGCATCAAAATGAACGAATAACATTTATATAATACAACCTTCATCATTGTTTTGCATTACTCACTTTGGAACAAGATTAGGATTCCTTGGTTGATTAGCCATCCAAGCCCTGCATATAGGATAAAGCGGTGTATCTTCTTGAAACTGTGCTAAATCAACACTCCGATCAAATAATTTCATTACATATGTATGGTGAAACGATGTATCCAATTGCACTTGTCTGCGACGTCGAACTTTTCTTGTCTGTTGATTACCCACTGATTTTGTTCTGTACATACTATCACTAGAAGTAACAGATACTTTAGTAAACATAAGACAGAAATAATTGTACATATTCAATTAATATTACATTTTTTTCAATTGATGTTTGTAATCTTGCGATGAATTTTCTTCACTGGAATCTGCAGATGATCCTGTATCACTATGTTGAAGCAGTTCTCTGAGAGCTCCTTTCAAGCGATCTCTGGCGACAAGAACATCGCTGTCTCCTAATTAAAGTACATTTCAAGTTTATAATATAACAAAGAATACAGCTATTTTGAGAATGAATATAATACAATAAATTATTATAACTGTAATGAATTAATAATTATTACTAAAATTAGTAAATATAAATAAAATATTTTCAAATACCCAATTCATCTTTTATTTCTAGTTTTACACGTCCAGCAAGCGGAGCAGGAGGTGGATGAATATTTCTTTTCTTTCCCATCTAAAATATGACAAAAAGTAACGATCATACAAGTGCTTTCAATGGCTCTTATTATTTTTATAGTAGAATAAGAGTTTACCATAAAAAAAACATACCTTTTGTAAACACTGTATTTCATCTGCACATCAAACTATAGTTTGTAAAATAAAATACTTTCTATTTAAATAAAAGAATTACTCAAAAATAATTGTTCGAAAAGAGAATATGAGAAATTAATATGTATCTAACAGCTTCTATATTATCGAAAATTCAAATTTTCTAGGTTAGTTGATGGAGTGACGAGATTGGATGAAAACAAAATAATCTTAATTGTACTTTTGTCTTATTCACAATTCTATTGAATAAAGGTTATCACGTTAGTTTGATAACAAAATTATCATTACGAAAAGTCACAAGCCAAACAATTTCCAGTAACTTCGTATACTGAATGACACGCGCTAGTTTTTATCAAAGATACGGCACAATTCACCATTGGATCGTTCAATACAGTTCAATCGGTTTAATCTTTCGAGGTTCTCATTGGTACGTTCTAGCTTTTTTAATCTTTTTAAATCGATTTTCATTGCTCTTACGTTACGAATATATTCAATTAATTATAGTTTTGTAAAATAGCAAATAAATATTTTAAAAGATTGTACCAAAAGCTATTGTTCAGTAAATATCAGATCACAACATACACAACTCCAAGCTAACTTGTTTTGTAATTTTGTTGATCGTTCGCAATTTTTAGAAATATTTATATTACAGATAGATAAATATTTACGAGATGCAGCTACTATTAAGCATGCAAATATTTATAATTGTAAACATGTGCTTAACGATTTCCTTTGCGCATAATTGCATTTTGTACAGTGAAGATTATAAGTGTAAATTAGGAACGAAAACACCGTACAGATTTATAGCTAACTACGATGATTTTCCTCTTGAATATAAACGTATGTACATAGACCGATTATTTAATTGTTATTTATGACAAGTTGCGTGATAAATTAATGTGAAATAATATTTCTTTTAGGTTGTGTTCCAAAGAAGATATGGTTGGTTTTGAGACATGGCACAAGATTTCCTGGCTCAAAGTTCATAACACCTATGATTGAAAAACTGCCAGAATTACAAAAAATTATTCTAGATAACTATCAAAGAAATAAAACAAGTCTTTTCGCCGAAGATGCAGCGTTATTAGCAGCTTGGAAAGTCACCCTTACAGAGGATAATATCATGAAATTGGTAGAGGAAGGTGAAAATGAGATGATTGATCTTGCAGAAAGATATCAATCTAGGTTTCCTACAATCATGCCAGAAGAATACGATAATCAAACTTACAGGGTAAAATAATATATTCTCCATTTCCATTCTTTTGTCATACTTTATAAATATTAAATTAACATTAAATTTTAGTTCAAATACACTGCCAACCAACGTACCGAGGAAAGCGCAAAAAACTTTGCTACCGGTTTATTTGGCAGGTACACCAGTCAGAAAGTTTGGTATCCGGATGCAAAAGACAAGGATCCTGTGTTAAGAGTAATTTTCAATGTTCTATTTTAATAGATAATCAATTTCTTGTTACTTAATTATTTTATTTCAAGTTTCTAGTTTTATAAACGTTGTCGTCGTTGGCTTCTTCAAGTGCACGAAAATCCAGACGCGCAAATAGAGAATGAAAAGTTTTTACAGACTGAAATCTATACCAAGATGTTGCAAGACGTTTCGGAGCGTATCGGTTATAGGGTCGATCACGGTTAGCGTAACGTACTTAAATACATATTGGTTGGCAGTACGAGAAATAAGAAATTTAAATTTCAGAAATCGCATCCTTGATGTACACGATGTGCGGATTTGAAACAGCGTGGCATCCAAATATAGAGTCACCATGGTGTAGAATGTTTTCTTTAAACGATTTGAAGGTGAATTTTTAGGATGGTATACTTAAATTTACATTATTTTAATAGTTTCACTTTTTTTTTGAAATCTATCGTAGATATGAATATTTCAGGTATTCGAATTTGCAGAGGATTTAAAAAAATATTGGGTCGACGGTTACGGTTACAAATTAAATTACGAACAAGCATGTCCTGCATTGAGAAATATGTTCGACTTTGTCACGTAATTATTTATTTTTCTTTCAAAAATGTGTGAAGTAGTATATAACTAAAATTGTAAATTCTCTCACAGATCAGATGATGGACCATTAGTATCGGCATACTTCACTCATTCGGGTACCATTTTGAAGTTGCTGGCTTCTCTGCGAGTTGCACAAGATGATCAGCATCTAATGCATGATATGTTTCCGCTGTATGGAGACGATAGAGCGTGGAAGACCGGTATTATTGATGCGTTTGCATCTAACATCGCGTTTGTTTTATACAAGTAATTATCAACCATCATTTTGTATATATGCGATGATTTATACTTCATCGTATTCTCGATGCGTGTCATTTTTGTTTCAGTTGTTCACCTGTGGGTCCTAGTCTCCTTTTTATGCATCAAGAAAGACCACTCTATCTCCCAGGGTGTCCTTTACATGTACCGTGTCCGTTATCTATTATGAGGGCGCTATATCCTGATCACGAAGTAGAGTGTCAGTTCGACGCAATGTGTAGCATCGAAGAGGAAAGCACGCAATTCGAAAAAGATGCGGAATCATAAAGTATTTAACAAGAGAAATGAACTTTTAGTCATCTTTGTAAATTATACAAATAAACAACTATTTTTCTAGTACGTTTAAATAGAATAATCTATCCTATATCTGGTCACAATATTTGAAATAGATTAAATACAGATGTACAGATTCTCCGAGTTCCGGCCCAATTCATTTGCTTATGCAGATTTTTTACGCGTGTATAGGGTTGAACACCACGAGCGTTTTAGAGCACAGCGAGCACGCGGTACATTGTATTTCTATAATTCAATGTATGCGTAAGGTTGCGTAACGAATTAACCACTCAAGTCGAGGGCTTACCGCGTAGGTTTTACCGATGTAGAATAATCCGAGTGACATATAACCGAATGGTGATCGGTAATCGGTAATCCCTGTCAGAGGGTGTGCATCGTTGGTGCAACGTACATAAAATATCGATACGCGTCGCTTGTCGATACTGTCACTTCTCTCATACTTGGCTCTGAAATTTCCCCAATATAAAACGTCGTGGGCGTTAGCTACCACAGAGCCGATTACGTTGCGAATAGAATCATATTCGCGAACGCAACGCTGTATTTACTTAACAAATAGTTCAGCTTTATGCTAGAAGATGTATCAAGAAAGCTCTAATAGTTTAGCTCTGTTCTTAACAATCTGATAGTGCAAATGTTAGTAAAGTTAGTAAATTAGTACTTACAGGTCGCAGAATTCCGTTCAGGCGATTGATAAATGTAGAATTGTTAAGTTTACCCGAAACATGACTTCCTAAAAACGGTCCTTTCGTCGAATATCTGCAGAGCTGGGCGCCATAGGCGTCCAAGGGCACGGCGAGCACGTAAACTAGCGGTGCCACAGGGAATTTTCGACTCTCGCTTCTACCGTGTCTGGAGCGTCGAATCGCGGCACGTACGCGGGCATAAATCTGACGCTCGTAGGAATCTATGAACAAAAGTGCAGCCACTTACACGCGCGTTAAGTACAATTTATGGAAGGTGTGGGAATATAAATGCACGACGTATCATAAATTTCAGGGTTGGATGGTTGAAGGAGAGGCGTAGAAAGAAGGTGGACTGAGGTGGCTTGGCGAAAACCAGCTCCCTTCGACCCGAAGGTACTAACGATATTGTTCGGGGCATTCGCGAGCGCGGAGTTCGTCCTCGAATTCTCAAGAGGAAACAACAATTTATTTTATCGGAGCCACGGAAATACCCGAAGGACCAGTCGCAAATCACTGCCTCCGCGTGATGCTTTACGATGGAATTTCTCTATCTCTTTCGAGCACTCGCGCGTCCTCGTTTCGCTTTGCTCGTCTCCTTTCTTCTCCTTCCTTTTGCTTCCACAGCTGTTGAATACAACGGGGGTATTGCTGTCGGTTAGAAGAGGGAGCATCCCACGGCGGAGACGATCGTTTTGCAGATGGAGGCGTAGATCATCGAACGTTATGAAATATATAATGAAAAAGGTTCTCGGTGAGAAATGGGGATACGTCTGGCATTCGCGATATATGTATACGGTTGGAGCCATAATCCAAAGCGACAAGGCTGACGATATAAATATGAGATATACGCACGCGGAACGGCGATGCATCGACGCTTGCCCCTGGTCCAGACGGCCCCCTCGGGCGACCAGGGATGATTGAAGCCACCTTCGGTCGTGCTCCTTCGAAAATTCAACTGCAAACGTTGCGACTTTCTCGTTTCAACGGTAACCACCGCAGGGAACGAAACGCGGAAGGGTCTGCTCGGGTCGAAAGTGGATTTCCACGGAAGTCGAATCTTATAGGCGGTTTTAAGCGGAAATATTTAAACTTCGGGCGACGACGAGGCGCGTATAAGGGGGTTTATGACTTCGTATTCTGTTAAACTGAAAAATAATTTTAATCGAGGACGCGCGGAGTTTGTTAAACTTGTCTTGAAAGAGTGTACGCATAATTTAGGTAGACGTCAGACATTAAATCTTTCTGCAGTTGTTCGGTTCGATAAGACCTAAGGAGCCTAACCCAAACCTAACTCAGACCTAAATGCTAAGAAATGAATACCACCAGCAACGGAATGGGAACCCGATTGAGGGCAGGGTATCCTCGATTTCGCAACGATAAAAGGGCAAGCGGTTTGGGGGATAATTCCAACTCGATATTCGAAGGTTTTCGATTTCTTTCGCGAGAGCTGATCGTCGCTAGGTACTTATAAACTGGAAAAACGATGATTCGGGACACCGAGCACGCCGGTGGCGCGGTTAACGAAGTAGTCGCGGCGCCCCGCGCGACGCATTCCGCCTGGCCAGAGGTAAATTGAAATTGGACGCAGTGACGCGAATTATTATAATCCCGAGGCTGCTGCTCGGCTGCCACCGGAAGCCTTGCGGCGTTTTTCCTGCCGTCCTCTCTCCTTGTGCATCGCAGGAGTACATAAAATTCAGACCCAACGTTTCCATCTGCTTCCACGTATTCCTGGGGCTATTCACTTCAGATTCGTCTTGCCGTGGTAAACGCATGGCGGACACGCTGGCAGACTGTGTTCCAGCTGTTGGAACTTAAGAAACTTAAATAAAATAAATGAGAATGATGGATTTAATTGTAATTGTATTACACGTCGATACGTGGTAAGATGATTGGCGCAATTTGTGTCGGTCGTGACCAGGATAACACGGGTGAAATTAAAGTAATAATGTAAAGCAATAATGTACTTACGTTCATATCTTCTGACCGAAGAAGAGGAGAAGCTTCTTCATTTTCAACTTTCAAATAATATAGAGGACATTTTTTATGAAATATTTGCACTTGCACTTAATAAAACAGGGAGTTAATTCCGTCGGTCTTAAATGATTGAAAACTTAGCGACCACGGTGAAGTTCTAGGTAGAAGTATTCTACTCCTGATATTGGTGCTAGACAAATTTCTAATTGTAATATTTAATAAAGAAGCCGAGAAAAACGTTTTCGAAAGTAAGCTTGTTTCTCGCTAGACTAGACGCCTAGCTTAATAATCGAAATTCGCGGATGCATTGTGCTCGAAAAACGGTGGAGCGAGTAACGTCGAATAATTCTTCGTTTCAAGCGCAGCAACAGCCATACGGGCTATCGATTTTTCACGGGTACCTTGTAATGCTTCAACGTCGGGTTCAGAAGCGGTTTAGTCCTTCGGTGTAAATGTTCCCATTAGGCCGCGGCAGGCAAACGACGAAAGGAGGAAATCCTGCAACGATAAACTACCGGCAGGATGAACTGGCTCGCTGCAGTTTAATGTTCGACGCTGCTAAACTGCACGCGCTAAAGCGTGACGCGCGTTCCGCATTAGCAGTCCAACCTTCCTTGAAGAGCCTGGTTTTCGCGTGACGGCGGTGTCGCTGGCAATAAAAACGCGAAATTGATTAGAATTTTGATTAGAATCGACTAGAATTATAGATATGCGAATGCAAAGGCGAAGAGATGTTCTACCTTCGCGCGGAAAACGAAAGGTCTCGTTCGATAACGCGCTCGAATTTCTGAACGGCGGACTCCTAAATAAATTAAACGCCTCGCTACCGCCATTACGTTCAATTATCGCGGTGGCAGCCCACATTGGAACCCACGTAGCGACACGTGTACACCGTGTCAAAACGCAGCGCAGTTTCCACGATTTCGACGCGATTCGACGGCAATCACTTTAATGATCACGCGTTGCTCCATTAACGAAGCGTCCCGAAGGGTTTCTGGGCTTTCTGAACGAACGAACGTCGTCAACGGCGGTCGTGACACGTCGCGTTGAGCCCTTTTGAACGCGTGAACCCTTCTGCGAGCTTCCTCTCGTCCGTTGCTACAGTTTCCATGGAACAACGCCTCGATTCACCTGACTGGAGCTCTTCGCTGCGTTCAACGGAGACACGAACGAAATGGATGACATTCGGAAGCCCAGTACTTTGTAGCACCCCCTAAGCTGAGCCTGGTACCTTCTAGGCCTCCTAGATCTCACCTACAAAAATGTTTACGATTAATTTCCTCCCTTTCGATTCACTTTTAGATCAAGATACATCTCCTCTCAACTAGAGCGGAAAAAAACTACACACCGAGGGAAAAATCTTTCGAGCAGAGGGAGAGAGAGAGTGAGAGTGGGCTAGAAAAGGGGGAAGTTCGTTTTAATTAGAAACAGGACCACGTGGAAGATGAAGGTACAGCGATGAAAGTACGCCGAATGTATAATTGAGTCGAGTTTCAGCGTGGTCCGTTGTTCGTTGAAGAACAACCGTGGTCGAGGAATACTCGAGGCGAGAACTTCGTTTCAGGATTGCATCCCACCGAGAACGTGACAAGGGCTGAACGGACAGATTTAATGACTATTTGATGAGCCAAGTCGTTACGCTGTAACTATTGATAGAGACGCTTTGTAACTATTAATGAACACCCTTTAACCCTCTGACTGCGGATTGCGAGAATTACAACCTGCTGGGACGCGCCATAAATTTTGTTACAACCTTCGTAAACGATGGTCCTATTGTCGTTCGATGATTTATCGAAAATTTCGTTCCAGCGTGTCGAACGTTCTGTTAAAATTCCTTTTATTAATGCCATCGGATTGTTGGTAAAAACGACCTCCCCGTGTCGACATAATTCCCGCATCATGCCCCCTTGTTTTATTAAAATTGAACGAACGTTTTATTAAAAGCATTCCTTTCGACGTTGGCATTGTTTCGTCTTTCATAACCCGTTATTGAAAATTTCACGGGTAACCGAAATTTTCTGTTATCGCGTCTCACCTGGGACAATTTTGTTGTACAATGATAACGAGAATTTGATTGACATTTTCGGACGCGGTTGCGTCGTACATAGGGAGGGGGATAGATGTAAAATTGACCTTTTTTCCATTTTCGTTAGTGTAAAATTTGTAGGGGGAAGGATCAACGAAACATTTTGTTACGCATTGTTAGGTATATTTTTCACTTTTAAGCTGGACTAGCGAGTCTCTCGTGTTTCAGGATAACCATTTTGCGAGGCAAATAACGCAGAGCGCTATGGGGAATGTCTTCCCGCGACCACTGGGAAGCGGGGATTCGTAGGAGAAGGTAAATGTGAGAAGAAACCTGTAATTTAAAACTGTGTAAATAACTTAATTGCGAGGGTATATTTTCTTGCATTATCTTGGACGTACCATGTAACAGACGCTTCTATTTCTGAATTCTAGTTGAAGAAAATTGGACAAATGTTTATTACCCTTATGTAGGAACTGTTTATTTATTGCACGGACGAAGAACGGAACTTTAAATCAACGTTTTGTCTCCTAATCGTTGTAATGTGTATTGTAATCGTTTAGATTTTATAGTATCGATATAATCATTTATATTATATAGTACAATTTGGATTCATTGTACTGTGACATTTGTAGAACTTCGAAATACACGATATTTTTTGTTGTATCTTTTGGATTTGCTAATGAAAGAAATTGGTTTTTTGAATTGTCCCGTTTTCGAAAGTCCGACATGTAATGATCCGTGCGAAAAATTATCTGAACTTAAATCGAGTCGTATATACAAATTTAAGTACCCTTGTGCTTCATTTATTGTTATGACAAAAGAACTCTAATAGGGAATTGTAGATGTTTACATGATGCAATCACGTATATATCATGCAAACTTTGCGAGTTCTCTTTCGGGTAAGACACGTGGAAATATCATTTTTCTTCAAATAAAATAATTTATTGCATAAATGCGTATTAGTACGAAAGTTGCGATAGCATTCGATCTAGCTTTTTCCGAATAATTTCGTTGTAGGCGGGTTTCGAGGGAATCGCGAACTTTACGCGAGAGTTTAACATCTCCCATCATCCAAGACAATTAGCTATCGACTCCTTGGATTCATAATGCATCGCACGTGCATCGGAGTCAATGCGGTTACACGGCTGAACGGAGTTAAACACGCTCTTCAGCCTACATTTGGGATGACGTTTACGCATGGTCGCGTGAGCTTATAGAGATCCTGTCCCAATCGAACGTGTTCCCGTTGGTTGTCTCGTTTCGCTAATCCTCCTGTGTAAAGAGCGTCGCTGGCATGGCAAGGTGGAACTTCACTCAAAATCCGATAATACGTTTTGTCTGGCTGAATTAACTCCAAGTTCTCTGGGACGGTATGGTATTGTTGAAACTTATTTTAGAACGCTATAATTGCGTGTAACTCGATAACCAGACTGCGAATGTTGTGCATCTATAGACCATTTTATTCGTAATGAGATATGTAGCATTTATTTAGACAAATTGATCGACCTATTATACCATGTCGCGTAAAGATTGTACCGTTAGTCGGTCTGTAACACTAGCTGCCAGCTATTAGGCGCGCGGACGTTGTCCCTAATAGGCGGGAACCAGTGCTACAGCCCCAGTGACCGGGTTGCGTCGAATCTGCTGAGAAAAGAAACTTCAATTTAAGGATTTTAATAGGCTACCGAATAAATTGATGCATTCCTATAAAATATAATGCTATATTATTATGGATGAAAATGTGCAGGGTGTTTCATTCAACGTGGAATGTTTAAATGTCTCACGAAGCGCGTCGAAGCCCCTGATAGACGGCAACCGGTGCCACCGCTTCTTCTTTTTATCTCCACTTATAAATTTTAATTCGTAGTTTCCCCAAGAGAACGCAACTATCCACATCTCCCAAATAAATATAACAATTATTACCCGAAAAATATTCTCGAAAGAGCGAAACACCTCGACTTCGGACCGTTTAAGAAGGTCGATATCTCGGTTAGTATCGATCCTGGCGAAAATGTATACGCAGCAAAAATCCCTCAAAATTTCATTCCCGGCACTTGTTCTCATATGGATTTTTGCTACAAAAGCAACGCCGCGCGAAAATATCGAATATTACAGGGCCGATGCCTCCCACGATTCACCCCGTGGCTACGAATTTTGTTGTATCGTGTATGCAACATATACGCTCCAAGTTTTGTCGCGATCGCTTTCACAGTTCCCTCGGGAGGCGGCAATAAACGTACGTAACCGCGTTTTATTAATACAGAAACGATGACGGGAAGGATTCCGACGGTGACTGCTCGAAGTTGTACAGGCGATCGTAAAACGATGGAAGAGATTAGGGGTTGAGGGTAGGATGAAATAGGTTAATAACGTAGGCGAAGGAAAGGAGACAATGGATTGATCAGGGGGTGGAGGAAAGCGAATCGGGGCCAACGACCGGATTAAATGGTAGTTAGTAGGTGGGATAGGTTAACCCCTTAATTGCGCCATTTTGGTCCTGCGAGCCTTACCCCTCGGTACGGACGTTTTCAGTCACGTTTGATTCGTAAGTTCGCCTTACGTAAAAATAACGTGAAAAATAAAATAAAAGAGGTCAGAACACTCGGAACTAGATATATAGAAAATAGAGGGAAAATGTTTAGAAGATAAGCCGTACTTTCATTCGGATCTCCATTCTTTAGTACCTTTTCGATTTTTGTTAAAAAAGGTGAAACAGAAACACGCGATTAACCTCGACTCCGCGATTCCTGGAGGGGTGTTACATTCGCGGCGGTCGTAAATCCATTTTTACGGGCTTTCGATACCGTATCCCGGCGAATCAATGATCGCCTATAAAAAGGTATCTTACTCGAGGCAGCGCACGTATCCGTATTCTCTCGCTTAAATACGCGGCATCTATCATCCCGTATTGTACGCGATATCGCGGCTACGGTTCGCGCATCTATCAGCCGAGCAATATCGCTTACACGGCCCGCTAAAGTCAACCGTATCGGCGTATCAACGCGCATCCAACGGATGTCCATCAATTTATTTGTTTCATATAGTCGTGCGCAGAGGGATGGAGGGATCGTGCCGCGACTTTCTTTTTTTTTATCGGGGAAACCTTGGACCCCACCGACATCCGCCGATAAACCACCGATTCTCGACTGATTGATATTAAACGAGAATCAGGGTGTCCTTATTGTGTGCGTTCGTGTTAAGGGTGAATAATGGCGGCGGACGATAGGGCGTATTTATGCAATCGAACGAACTCGAACTCGAACGTTTTCCTACATTATCGCTTGCCATAAATGCATAAATATCTGCGGTCTAGTTATTAGGGATGCGCATAGTGTATATTATTGTTATTGTAGTATCGGGGAATTTTTAAGGGAGGTATCCCTTATACAATAATTGGGTTAGAAGTATGCAATGAAGTATGTTCGTACGAGGTGTCGTTGAGAAAATTGATCGTGAAAATTTTTCAGATAAAATACGACGTATAGATAGTCTGACTACTGTTCGCTATTTCTACTTACAGCGCGTAACAGCAGCGCAAGTAGAGTCAGCCAACAATGGTCAGACACGCCAGTCACCTCAGGCGCGCGTCCCTACTCAAAATTAATTTTCTCGTTACGATTACCTTTGGTACCGGTGTAATGACGCATTAAATAATCGCGGTTGAGAGAATGGCACGTGAATTCAAAATGACATAAATCTAAAGCATTCAACTTCGAGCTTAATATGGATTTTAAAAGGTAACCACGAACGAGCTTGCTCCGAAATTAATAGGCCAATTTCTCACAAATTTAATTAGCACGTTCATCTCATTCGTAGTAGGGTATATCCCGTTCTATTCCATTCCATATTCCCTTTGGTAAATGGATCGTATGTGGGGGACTAATTGCTCGAAACCACTTGATTGTTGCCTGCGGAGTCACTTATGATATTACACTATTTACGGAATGCCTCCTGGCGTGATTGATACCGTCATATCCAGCGCGGCAAAGTAATTTACCATTAAATATGCGAAACGTACCTTCCGTATCGTGACGTAAAAAATTCCATTTAATATTAGGTTTAACATTACATTTAATAATACGTATTTTTCGTCAGCAGATTTTTCTTTGTTCAGGCCTAAACCACAATTGCGCCGATAAAAGAGATTAAATACATCTTTGAAGTCACGAACGTTCGTCGCGGTGTCACAGAGCAAGTCGTCGA